ATTCCGCATCAAAATAGAATAAAAGATAGATAATAGGCTAGATGGATTAGATAGTCAAGCGACTTTTACTGTGATATCATCTATACACGGCAGTAGAGTCTTATGAAATTTCGTTCCCCAGGACCATAGTGCAATGTAGAACATGAATGAATAGACAGACAGCTAGAGACAGACAGCCAGACAGACAGACAGACAGCTAGAGACAGACAGATAGATAGATAGATAGATAGATAGATAGATAGATAGATAGATAGATCAAATAAACTGAAGTGCACTAGTGATCTCTTGAAACATACTTTATCTCAGATTACTGTTGACTGGAAACCAGCAAAGCTGCCAATATACTGAAACAGGCACCAATAGAGCTCCCAGATGAAATCTCCTGTGGGTGGAATTACATTAACCAGCTGTAAGAGGGAATTATTAACACAGTGCGCAACCTATGACCTCAACCTGCCAAAGAGCTTTATTAAAGGAGATGACCTTGTTTGGCTCCATTAGATGGTGATGGACAGTTGACTCATCTTATTGGTTAAAACATTAAGAGCTTAAAGGAGCCACTGAGTGTCTCTGAAAAAGCTTTGTGACTTGGGGTCATCAGAGGCAGAGCTGCAGGCAGGAGAGTTTGGTCTGGAGAAGGCTGGCAAGAGGAGAGGGAGTGGAGAAGAGGCAGCTGAGAGGGGACAGGAGGAACTCTGTCAATGAGCAGAGGACAACTACAGCCAGGAAATAAGAGTGATTTAACTACTATCATTAAACCAGTTTTAAAAAAGAAAAAAAAATGCTGATGACCATTAAAACGAGGCAGGTGCTTCAGTGCCAAAATTTCCTGAAAAAACAATCCATGCATTATTTGGTATACAAGAACACTGAAAATCAACTGCAGCAAAGAATACATAGCGTAGCCCTGGGGCTGCTTATGGCCACGGACCAATGATAAGCACCTTTCTGCAACAGTTTAGTATGTGATGGATATGTGCTGTAGTAAGTTCAGTGCAGAATCTGGGGCACAGGGACCTTAGTGTAGCAGTAAGAGTGTGTGGGAGCAGAAACAATATGACAGGAGCTCTAGAGAGATCATTTTTAGCATCAGACCCCAGGGGACTTGCTGGTCTTTTCTGTAAAAGCAGGGTTAAACAGACAGTTGTAGTCCATGGGGATTTCCTGCTTGTACTTCTGATTTGAATGAATGAATATCTTCATAGTCATCGCACATGTACTGGTGCCACTGCACATTGCAACAAGATTAAGTTTGCAACTTTACTACACAATGTTATAAAACACAATAAGTTAAATAAAAATAGAACAAATACGATAAGATAAAGTACTTTAAAAAGTCACCAAATCCAATACAATTTTGCAAACGAGTAACTAAATAACCACATTATAAAGCAGTGTGTACAGTGTAAACGGTATAAACAGCATGTAGCAGTAGAGATGTGACCAGCAGCTGGAAAGCTCGAGTCTGGCAGTAGATGTGCAAAACAGTGCTGCAAAACCAACAAACAGTATAAACCTAAGCAGTGAGGAGAGTCAGGCTGTGGCCAAGGAATTTGAAATTCACCTAGTTTAATTCAATAAAAGTGATGTATTTGTGCAGACTACATTAATTATATTTCATGATATATATTTAGCTATATTTGTACTTGAGCTGGTCATCTTTGGGCATGGAGGCTTGTTTTGCGGTTGTACATTTTTCATCACTGTGCATGTTCTTGTTTTCAAACAATGTGCAGGTCAAATTTGGCAGATACAGTTCAGGACACTCCCTGCTTTGTGTGGAGTGTTGGAAGCTGCACCAGGGCAAAGGGGAAGACAAGCAATCTGAGAGGGCGGCATCAGCATGGGTGATTTTTCCCAGGGGGTGAGAAGTGTGAAAGAGCCAGTCAGCCATTCATTACAGGTCAGGCTAAACTGAGCTACACATGTAAATTTGGGGAGAATGAATAAATACATTTACAATTAATTACTATTACACACTGAAATGACCACACAATCCACATTTTCAAATATAACTTTACTATATCATTTAATTATTTTGAACTTAAAGGAGCCCTATTATGCTTTCCAGTTTTCCCTTTCCATTAGTTTGTGGCCTAATGGTTGCTGGGTTGGTTCCCTGAGCAGCAAGGTACCGCCTCTGGGCGCTAAAAATAGTTGTGCACTCTTGTGTCACATATGGGTTAAAGGCAGAGGACACATTTCATTGTTTTTTGTGTCAACAATAACAATTATTCACTCTGCAATGTCTTATTATTCACTCTGCAAAGGCCTAAATTACACGCCAAAGGGAGTAACTCTCACCACATAAACCATTCTAATCTAATCTTCTCTGAAACTCCTCGTTGGAATTCCAGACATTACTTCCAGGACTTGGTAAGGTCACGAAATGACACAATCCTTATTGGCCACCTACCTAGAAGGATTTGAAGTGGGCAGAATGTGTAGGGGAAGCTGACCTATCAGACCACACTGGGCTCATCGTGGGTGGGGCTTAAAGCTCTAAGAAAACGTTATAGATCAGGGCTCTTCAAATCTGGACCTCGATTCCAAATCTGGGCAGTGTTTTCAGTTCTCCCAGGTAGTTAGTTTTATAATAACTGATTCTGATTGGCCAGAGGCTTCACACCTGGCTCACAGGTAAAGGAAGGCTGGAAAATCAGCAGTGCTCGGACCTTGAGGACCATGATATGAATAGCCCTGTTATAGCCAGAGCGAACAGAGATGACCAGTCATTGAAAAACATGTGTTCTTGGAACATTGAAGCATGTAAATCTATTCTAGTAGTCCCTAAAAATAAAATTATGAATCGTGAAAATTAGCATAATAGGGACATTTTAATGTTCAAATAGCATTTTATTTGACCATTAGGGGGTGCAATCATCAACAACCCCTAGGCCTGGGCCACCACATGTACTTGGGCCATCACCGACCCAAACCTCTCCTCAGGGACACTTCAGCCATTCCATATATTCATTAATTTATACTGCACCACTAGCTCAATTAATTAATTCACTTAATCAGTTCAATAACTAAGTGAGGTATTGATTAGCCATATGAGGTGCACTCATGGTCAAGTCAACAAATACATGGGTGTATTGGATGATTGTTGCAAATACTGGGGTGACTTTAGGAGAGGTTTTGAAATGGCTAAGCTGACACACTTTGACAGACATAATATCATAGTTTGACACCAATATGCATTTAAGCATCACTGCATTATGGGTAAATTTCATCATCACGTTTACCAGCAGAGGTGTGGACATTGGCATCACATAACAGCAAAACTTCCTCAGAACACTGTAGCTAAGGGCAACCAGGGATGCCTGGGCCAAAGCGGATCAAGGCTCCCGGGGGGGGGGAACAAAGGAAAGGAAACTCTGTATCGAGCAGCTCTCGAGGGACACCTAGTTCTCTAGTCATTTTCTGTCGAGCACAGTCACATGAGACAGAAGCCAAATGAAAGCCCAGGCTATCAGACCGATAACCATGCTACACAAAGCGGACACACTGATAAAAATGGCCGACCGTGTTGTGATTTGGGTGGGTTGTCTTCTAAGCTACACAGCTTGATAGTGCAGACAGACAGACTAGGGGATTAGGCTCAGTGGTAGGGAGGGGCTTTGGGCAGAGCTGTTGTGAATGTGTGGTGGATTATTCTGTTCTCTCAGCTCTGCTACACAGATATAGTACAGAATTAGAAAGCTGTACCTGGCCACTGCGGGGAGGCGCAGCAGAGGCAGCCCGGATATGGTGAGGGAGCGTTATTTACCACTATTTACATGTTTCAGATGCTCTCTACTTAGACAGCAGGAGCTAATTTATGCTTGGGAGACACCAAGGCCACATAGTTTATTATGAAGGTTTTATCTATAAACAATATTACGTTTCACTGTAATGGCACTGAAATGAATCAGTTCGATTTTTCCACATATTGACATCTTTTATTTAATTTCCTGCTGATAAATTGCCACAGAGCACTTTCCGAGCATTTGCATTTATACAAAAATCTGATGAATTTATACCAGATACCACATTTCAAGTGGAAAATCTTGCTTTGTAGGAGAAATCAGGGCGTTGTGTTTTCTGGACAAGAAGACTGTAGTAAGTGCTGTACTTCCATCTTTTATAAACAATAATCCTAATCACAGGTGGCCCAGGGGGGTATTCCATGAAAGTAGCTAAAGAAAGGCAGACTTTCCCTTAATCCTGCTTTGTGGAATACCCCCCAGGAGCCTATACTAGGTAGTAGTAGTAATAATAATAATAATAATAATAGATACTTTATTGATCCCCAGGGGGAAATTCTCTTTACACCTCCCCCCAACTTACTCTCTGTAGGTGAGAGCATGCGGTCCGCGAAGGGCAGCAGCGCCCAGGGAGCTGGGGGTTAAGGGCCTTGCAGACAGGCCAAGGTCAAGCTTGAATCAGCAACCTGCTGATCATGGACACAGAGGCTGAGCACACTGAGCCACGTGAAAGAACAGACCACAAAGATGAGGTACACTCTGCCATGTCTGCACAGCCTCACCAAAAACTCCTAAGCAGGCCGGGGCAAAAGGTCTCCTGCAAAATAAAGATTGATTTTTGCAAAGTTCACCTGCTGGAAATATATTTTATTTACTAGAAAGTGTAATTAAGCACGTGTACTGTAAACACCTGCGTGACAGAAAACACGGAACATTACAGGACATTCCTTCTGTTTGGAGTATTGTTCAGGATGCCAGTGTACATTTCTCTTCTGTATAATCAGATAAGACGAGAGAAACGTAAGATAATAAATACAACCGCTTGGTTAAGGCACATGACTGGGCTTGTTATATTTTAACGGATCAGAACTATGTAGATCATATCACTGTAATGCATTCTTAATGTCATTTTCTGTATTTGATGACAGAACCTAAAACTTTTACTGTGCAACACCTTTGAGTTTGATTGGCTATGAATCGTGGTTTTAAAAGTTTAGGAGGGGGCGGGCGTTTCATACATAACCTACCTGCTGGAATCCTTTACTGAGGATTCCAGGAAGATATCACATTTTGTTGCACGACATGCATCAGCAGCTTTGTAACTAAAATCAAAGGTATAGAGGTATAAAGACCTACAGTTCGGTGAAATTTCATTTACACTTTGAAGCTTTTGAGTAGCTCAGAGATCCAGCAGAGTCTGGAGATAGTTTCAAGGGCATATTCAAAGACTGCGATCGGATCCCGGCACAATATGACAGGCCAGGAGGTAACGCGACTTTATCTTTACCTGGTGCGCGCGATTTGCCTTCTAGTTAAGTATCCGAAATATTCATATAGAGTCAGATTACATATTGCTCACTGTTATTTAAGCTGTCGTTTATGTGGATAACGTTGCGGTTTGGGATTATAACACAAACAGGGAAACAAGCTGTGGGGCGGGAGATTTGCTGGAAGCACTGACCCGATCATGGAGAAGTTCAACGCCTCCATCAGTTACGACCAGCGCATGTGGGACGCAGATATCCGAGGAAGCAAGGGGTACGTGAAGGCACTGCAGAAAGCCGGGTTGGTCAGCCAAGAGGAGATGGAGAAGATAGTGCAGGGCTTGGACAAGGTGAGCGCTCGGAAGAGTTTCATAGCACATGTCGGTCATAAAATTAACTACAGATTTCCGCTTAAAGGTAGTAAATGCTGCTTATTATAACGAATACATATGTTGACTTAATAAACCGGGACTTTCAGCGCTAAATCATAACCAAAAAATAGCTCAAAAACAAAAAATGAGCAGTAGAGTAAAGCCCTTCTGATAATCACAGCACTGAACAGTGGGCGTCGCCCGAGACGCTCTACCGGGTTTGGTCTCCATGTTGATGTACCTGTTTGTCTACTGGCTGTTTTGCGGTTTTTCTAGGCACAGTCATTTTGTGAAAAAGGTGGGGGGAGGGTCGATTTAACTAGATTGCTTGATTACAACTGTGTCAGAAGCACGTGGTGTAAATTTCTTCGTCAGCAAAACACTGTACCGGCAAACATTAAATGTAATGGCAGGGTTGCAAGCTTTGGTCAATTGAGATTTTCAATTCGAGGCAAGTCTGCACACGTATTTACATGCATGTAGCAGTTACATTACCTTGTAAATAGTCTGTAGGGTTTGCAAACAACCCCAACGCTTTTGATGTAGCTAATTTTAGGTTTATAATGGAATAATATAGATTTGCCGTAAGATTTCTTAAGTGCACGTGAGAGTCTGAAAGCAGGAGTCACGACAGATGTGTGAGAGTCGGCCACCCTATACGCTTTTGTTATCAGTATCAGCCAAATGGGCCAAAGCAGTCACAGATCTACACCTATTTTTGCATATGCAGCGGCACTACCTCCATCTCTCCATCTTTTCATTAAAGTATTTCACCCACGGATCAATAAAGTATATCATCCCAGCCAGTGCCATGTAAATGTACTGAGTGCATTTACACATGTTGATATGCCTAACACAAGCTACATTCTCAAATATAACTTTACAATATAATGGCATGTTATTGAATTTCCATCCATTACAAAATAATGGCATGTTATTGAATTTCCATCCATTACAATATAATGGGCTGTTATTGAATTTCCATCCATTTTCTGAAACTGAATATCCTATTTGGGGTCATGGGGGGTCTGGAGCCTATCTGGAGTGGCTACAGGCACAAGGCTAGGAATAACCCAGGATGGGGCACCAGCCCATTGCAGGACACACTCACACCTAGAGGCAATTTGATAACTCCAGTCTACCACAGTATTTGGATTGTGTGGGGGAGGGGGTGGGGGGGGGAACTAGAGTACCCAGAAGAAACCCAACGATGACATGGGGAGAACATGCAAATGCCAAACACATGGAACCCCAGTAGAGATTTGAACTTATGTCCCAGCAGTGGGAGGCAACAGTGTTAACCACTGCACCACCGGGCTGTTCTGTTGTTAAGTTTAGTAGGTTCAAATAGCATTTTCATCTGACCAGTAGGGGGCGCAACCTCTGCACCCCCCAGTAAAATTAGTTATGGGGTGAAACATATCCTAGGCATCATACGCAGATACACACTGGTACACACGATATGGGCAATTAGGGGATTCCAGTTATCCTCACTGCGTGTCTTTGGGCAAGAAAACTGGAGTTCCCGGAGGAGCTCATTTGACTTAGAGAGCATGCAAACTTGAATGAAAAATGGACACAGGATCCCATACTCCCAGTCCTGGAGCTGTGAGATAATGGGGCTTCGCAGTGAGCTACTGGCTATGCTACCTGTTAAGCATAAATCAAACAGGGTCTGCCATGCTGGTTCATCTTTGGGCTCTTATGCAAATAAGGCGCAATGTTTTTGTTCTTATTGTCTTTCTGTTTCGCTGAGCCTGCAGATTTCTGGCGAGTGGGCAGCAGGAACCTTCGCGATCCAGCCCTTTGACGAGGACATTCACACAGCCAATGAGAGACGGCTAAAGGTTAGGGTCACCACTGGGGGACTTATTTATGCTGACGTCCCAATGGAACCATCCACTTAATAACGTCTGAGCAGAACAGCTTCGGTATGCAGTCGATCCTTCCACATCACAGGGGTTAGGCCTCCTCCATCTGGAAAAGCCCTGTAAACATTTTTGGTCCCCCTTGGCAAGAAAATCGAAAAGATACAAGAAGAGCAAGATACAGATAACACTGCGAGATAGAAGCGATTCCTGTGACACTGGGGGCCCTAGGCAGCAAACTCCATGGGGCCCTCCAATGCACCCCCCCAACAGGCTAAAATCTATCACCATTATTTTAGCATGAAGTCTAAATCAAAGATATCAACAAAGTGAATTTAATAAACACAATTCCTTTCTTTTCAATTTACTGTGAAAAACAAAATACACAAATATAGCAGATTTGTTGTTGCAGTGTACTATGTAATCAGCCCAGCTCGAGGGTCCCGGCTAGTGTCATGCCTCGCCTGTCCTGTCCTTACGCCTCTGGCTAGATATCACATGAGAGGCTATCAGGAACATGACTGGGGTTCCCCAAACCAGGACTGTACATGTATTTTATGTATTTGTGAGTCATCTTTTTGTGCATCATCTTATGGCCTTGTCATGCCGTCTGCAGCTTTTGCAAAATTCCCCCAAAAATTCCTGTTTAATGTCTTATGCTGACCCTGTGCTGTACGAAAACTGTGACAGGCAAAGTTGCGATGCAGAAGGGTCGACTGTATTCTTCCACTTTTACTTTTGGGATTCCCTCGCTACAGCCGTTCCTAAGTTAACTGTTTAACGTCCGTTTCTCGTCCTGATTGTTAGGAGCTGATAGGAGACGCGGCTGGGAAGCTCCACACTGGCCGGAGTAGGAATGATCAGGTCTGGTCACCGCTGTGCTGGTCGTCACATAAATACCTCCCATGCAATACCAGTGAAAATGACACTGGGCAGACCCAGTGGTCTGTTCTCTGCCGTGTGGTAATTCCAGCCCCGCATTCTGATTGGCTTGGCAGGTGGTGACTGACATGAGGATATGGCTGCGTGATGCAATCTCAACTCTGAAGGGTGACATAATGCAGCTCATTAGCACCATGGTGGAGCGGGCTGCAGCGTAAGAGACACAACGTGCAGAAATACACTGTAGAAAAGTACTGGGACACCCAGAGTAATTACTGGCCACATAAACCACACCCATTGCTAACATGCAGGCGTAGAACTTATATAACCTGTTAATTCCTCGTTAGTATAGTGGTGAGTATCCCTGCCTATCACGTGGGAGACTGGGGTTCGATTCCCCAATGGGGAGAGCTTAGGGTTGTTTTGGGGTTAGGGAAACGCACTTGTAAATGAAAGATTGTACTACTGAGGTACCTTTAAGCAAGGTCCCTTCTATGTCACATATGGGTTAAATGCAGAGGACACATTTCATTGTTGTGTGCTGTGGTGTGTCAACACTGATCACCAAAATAATTAAGCATAGAGCCATCAAACAATGGCAGCAGAATGGGTGGTCAGATAGAACAGGTTAGTCAGCCTAGTACTGTCATGGGTCAGCAGTGGACACCTTTCCAGCAAGTCAGTATTCCACCTATCTATCCTGCTAGAGCTGCCCTGGTGAAGTAATTGTGATGTGGAAACATCTGGGAGCAAGTTAAGCTGCAAAGTGGTGGCCGCACCCTGAAGCAATATTCTGATGTCTAATGGACAGAATATGCCTTCCCAGAACTGTATATTGACTTAGTCAGCTTTATATTAATACCCTTTGATTCAGAGTGAGATGTTGGACAAGTTGGTGCCACAATACGTTTCTCTGTATAGTGTACATATACAAGTCTACCAGTGAGAAAAATCAGTTGTGAAAGCCTCCATAGCTCTGTGGTGGTATTATTAAAATTTCCCAGTAAAATACTTTCTCTAAAATCAAATTTGACCGGTTCCATTCAATCAACAAATCTCTTGGCCCACAGAGAGATCAACATCCTGTTTCCTGGTTATACCCACATGCAGAGGGCCCAACCAATCAGGTGGAGCCACTGGATTCTCAGGTTGGCTGCTACTTCCTCACTGTTACGGCTCACAGCCTGGCTGACTAGAAACACAGCCTGCCTAGCCTTTCAGACAACATGCTGCAGCCCTGTGTGTTACACCAGCAAGCTTTTTCCACGTTTAATAATCAGACAATAGCACCTGTTTGCATCCAGTGATGTTTCTACTGCACTGTCAGAAAAAAGTACCTGTGATGGTATAATAACTTATCACTGGGGCTGTACCCTCTAGGGTCTGCCAGTTGTACCCTAGCTGTAGGTACTTTTTAATCTACTTTAAGGTACAGAAATGGACTGAGGAACATTTTTGTACCATTGGAGGTACATTGATGTTGTTTGTACATTGAGGAATAAAACTGTACCAGGGCTGTACCCTTTCTTCTGACAGTGTGCTGGTGTTGGTTCTGTGCGCACTATACCTGAGAGACACTGCATTGTTCCAGTTTGTTTTCTATTAGGCAGGATAGCAGTCTTAATCTGAGCGTGTCATAGCATGTTCATGTTTAGTTGATTATTTAGATCCATTTCTCCCCCCACGCAGCCATGCAGTTGCCCTCAGCAGAGACACGGATCACCTGGTGGAGATTCGAAGACGGGTGAACGTCTTACCCTTAGGAAGGTAGCTGGTAGACTGGGCTGTTGGTGGAATTGCGATGAAGGACTCAGATTTGTAACAGATTAAACCTGATTGAGTTCAGTAAAATATCTGGCTATTCTGATATAAATTAGTAGCATCAATTAAGCAACAAGACAATTTAAAAAAAAATTAACAAAAATGCATGGGCAGTCTGTTTTCTGTTTCCAGAGCTTTGCTTTCCTCCTACTGTGGAATTGATTAAATAGTGTTTAACAATTAATAATGATTGACTGTGGCTATGAGTGGCAAATGTTTATAAGAAATGTCTGGACAAATTTCTTGTGGCGCTTTGTGGCGCCCCAAACATTTATTCTGGCTTCACATTTTGTGTTCCAGTGGTGCCATTGCTGGCAACCCATTTAACATTGACCGGGAGCTCCTTCGTAAAGGTAGGCCTCCATCACACAGCCATGCAGGATTCTCCTGTGCAAGTGGTTCACACCAAAACAAACCGGTTGTTGTAGCTGTCATTGTCACTGCAGTCAGTAGGCACCCTCTACTGGTCGGTCTTTCCTTCTACAGAGCTGTCCTTTGATGACGTCAGTATAAACAGCATGGATGCTATTGGACAGAGAGATTTTGTGGGTAAGTCAGCTAATTTACATATTAATTCACTTAGACTTGTATAGTAAAAATGTACATTTGGAGTAGACCCTGTATTTTTATAATTTTCAGAATCCATTAAGAAATTAAGGATTACAGCCTGGGAAGGGAATTGGAGACCTTTACTGTAAATGTGGTGTACAAATGTTGTTTAAAAGGTAAACATGTAGATCATACAGTTAGGGCTGCATGGTGACTGCACAGCTGTATGTAGACCACACAGTTAGGGCTGCATGGTGTTCAGATAAGAAAAATACTGGAAACTTACAGCATGTATATATTGTATCATATATTATATCATAGATTTTCATACAAATGATAATGGAAGATTCTCCTAGTCATATCACATGGTGACTATTTTTAATTCACAAATAAAGATATATACCATTATGTTTACCTTCTGTATTAGCATGAATTTTACAAATAATAAGTTGCAACATATAAAATACATCCGTTTGTATTTGTGTGTATTTATGTATATAATTCCATAATATAAAGTATGTATGCCCTTCTCTACAGCTGAATTTCTGTTCTGGGCCTCTCTGTGTCTGACACACTTGAGCAAGATGTCCGAGGATCTCATTTTGTACACCACAAAGGAATTTTCCTTCGTCAGCCTCTCTGATGCCTACAGGTGAGGGTACTGACAGCATGTGGAGGAGAATGGTGAATGCTGACCTCCTGCTGAAAAGCATGGTAATGTTACACTGAAGGAGAGTATGATGACTGATACCACCGTGATGGAGAGTGTGGTGACTGATACCACAATGATTGAGAGTGTGGTGACTGATACCACAATGATTGCGAGTGTGGTGACTGATATCACCGTAATGGAGAGTGTGGTGACTGATACCACAATGATTGAGAGTGTGGTGACTGATACCACAATGATTGCGAGTGTGGTGACTGATATCACCATGATGTTGACAATAAAAACCTTTTGTCAAAGAGTACAATAGCTCTCGTATCCATGGTTTCAGTTATCTGTAGTTTACTGCTGTCTGAAAAAAATTGTAAAATGTCTAACAGTATGTTCCTTTGTCCTTTGATTGGTATATTTAGCATGATTTTTATTACTACATCTTCCCTTGATACATGACATAATTCCATTGCTGTACTGTCCGAATCCCGAATATGTCGAAATCCCTTTCATTTGAGAGTATAGTACTGTATAATAATATAAAATGTATTTTATTATTACTGTATGTCAGTAATGTCTTACTGTGTGTAATTTATCAATTACCTCACAAAAATTCATGAAAATCACATATATATGGAGTCTGCGGATGGTTCAGTATTATCCATGGTTTCAGCTATCTGCAGTAGGTCTTGGATGACCTGCAGATACAGAGAGATTACTGTATAGTAGTGATGGACAAACCAATGTTTCATGAGCCATTTTCTGACCCTACTAGATGGTGCTCTTGGTTTGCTTTGAGCATGCTTCATGCCCTCTCTTGAACAGAGAGCACCATCTAGTGGGGTCAAAAATACAGCAAATGGTTCATGAAGCATCAGTTTGTCCATCACTACTGTATAGTAATTTTACTTTGATGGTAGTAACAGTGAGATGTTTTGGACACTGTCTTCACAGTGACAGTAATGACTGTGTTTTGGGCTGAGCAGCACCGGCAGCAGCCTAATGCCCCAGAAGAAGAACGCAGACAGCCTGGAACTGATACGCAGCAAATCGGGACGAGTGTTTGGTCGGGTGAGCCACTCATAGTTAAAGTAAGCCGATTAAGACATATCTTGTCATTCTGAGCTCTTTTGCAGTGTCTTCTTCCCATCTTTGCCCTAGTGTGCTGGATTTCTGATGACCCTGAAAGGACTCCCCAGCACGTATAACAAAGACCTGCAGGTAAGGCCCGTGTCCAAGCTGACTCTGACTTGACACATCCAAGTTCCACCCTGAATGACAAAGCAGTCATTCTCTTCCTCTAATTGACTCCAGGAGGATAAAGAAGCGATGTTTGACTGCTATGACACGCTGCATGACGTCTTCCAGGTGGCCATGGGGGTCATTTCCACACTGACAGTGAGTGACCGCATCCATGCCAAAAACACTTCAGCATGTGTTCTTGATTGTTTCGTCTCTTACAACGAAAAGCTGATGCCAGAGGTGACAAAAAGAAATTTGTGTCCCACAAAAGCAGTGAAGGTGTCTTACTGTCCCTCGCAGATTAATCCCACAGTAATGGAGGCAGCTTTGAGTCCTGATATGCTGGCTACTGACCTGGCCTATTACCTTGTCAGAAAAGGGGTGAGTGCAGCCTATCTTTGGCTTGTCCCCGGTGCCTGTACTGTCTCATTTGTTTTTCTGTCTGTTGTCATATACTGTAGGTGCCATTCAGAGATGCCCATGGCTGCTCTGGGAAAGCAATTTCCCTGGCTGAGTCCAAGAATATTCCCGTTAACCAGCTGACTCTGGAAGACCTCCGTACAGTCAGGTGAGAGGGACGAGTGCTCACCATTCATTGATGGAAGATTCACTCCAAGGAATCAGTCTTCTAGATGCATTAACTACTCTCGCCTGTGAGTGTGTATTTTTGCATGCCTGCTTCCTCCCATTCCCGGTAGCCAATCTTTTCTGTATGTGCAGCCCTCTGTTTGACAACGACGTATCTGTGGTGTGGGACTACACCAGCAGTGTGGAACAGTACAGCGCCCCCGGAGGCACTGCCCGGAGCAGCGTTTCTGCCCAGATTCAGCATCTTCGCGACTGGATGAAAGCAAGCGGGAACTAAGCTATCCACTCCCATGCCCTCCCAAAACCATTTCATTGTGTGCCCCGAGGGGGGATGACAAACAAGCATATCCTCCTGAGACCCAAGGGAAAAAGTGTCCTTCAATTATAGGTTATTTGTCTTTGGAGGAAATAACACATCTTACAATTTAGATTTTTTTCAAATTTATTTTTATTTTTAATTTCACAGCATGTCTTCTTTAGTGTACAACAGGAATAAATGTTTCCTTACATCAGTGAAAAGATAGATGCAAAAACAACAACTACAATGGACATAAATGAATGGGTGGGGTCTCAGGAGGATATATAATATAAAAAACTATTCATGACTTAAGTCAATAGATACATATTTGTTCTGGGGAGCTAAAAAAAAAAAAAAAATAGGCCTAATGACACCTCTGGGGTGCCTCATTTCTCAATTAGTTATACATTCACTGTATTTACTTTTCTGAAAAGTGTACAACAAAAGCAAAATAGCTTTTATTATTATTATTTTTTTTTTTAAATCACTTGTCATGTTCTGCTGTTTAAATAAATGACCACTAGGTGGCGGCAAATATACTTTTTTCATGACCTGTTAAGCTGGCAAGTCAGGACTCAGGACCAGACACAAAATCAACATACAAAAAACTATGAAATGTACATCACATTATTAAAGACCAGTCTGCCTTGAGCCCAAGTAGATGGGAGGCATTTTCATAATGGGGAACTTTATAATGTATAACATTTGTGACCTAAAGAAATCCTCAGTCCTGAAAACTAAAAAAGGAAGGAGAACAAGTATAACAGGTCAAACGTGACAGAAATGTCTGTGCAGTGCGCTGGTGGGTGCAGGCATGTTAGCGTAAACAAACAATGGGGGTTTGTGATGAGTCACAGCGTCGCTGTCCTCAGCAATACAGCTATTACTCCTAAATAATGTGAGCGCAGGCCCTCAACACGATTTACCTGCACCAACATCTCCCACGTCCCCTTCCATCCCACCAGAGTAATATTCTCTGAGTTAGTTCAGTCATCCATTCATCAAAATGCATGAAATTTGTGTATTTTTGTGTTCGTAAAATTTACTTGGGATATAGTTTGCCAGCCTTACCAGAGGGTCATATCAGAAAGGCCCATGAATACTTAGAAAAGCATTTAACTTATTCCCACAATATGCAGGTTGCCAGATTTTAAAGAGGTTTGAAGGAATATTTCAATATATCAAAGAATAAAAACAGACTTCCTGTCTCATCTTCAAAAAAAGTAGAACTTTTTACTCAAAAAAGAAAACCCTCATGATAATACAAAGTAGTATTTAATAAGCTTGGGTGCATTGAAATACTGAATGGGACGGCATTTCCCCTATAATGCTGAACTGTACATAAATCTGTTAAGTCCACAACTATATCAGCACCATAATTAACAAACTTTGCAGTATTAATAATCTGAACGTTTTTAAAATGAAACTAAATTAAGTCACAGTATGATTATAAACCAGTGGGTTGTATTGCAATAATTGTCAGTGTTCCAAGATTACAGAAGAAACCATTTTTAGGGATTATCAAATTTATTGAAATGAAACAGGTTACAATGCAGTAAACATCTGAATGCTTTACGTACTCTAAAATCCATTAGAGTAAAAGAGGAGGATTCATGAAAAAATGAAATTGTGTGTCAGGAATGAAAACTGCATAGTATTGCCATCATAAAGACGAACAGGCACATTAAAATGAGTTATTTTTCCCTGAATTAAATATTACTGTTGCAGCTTTTACCTAAGCCAAGTCTGGACATGGGAGCCAAAGCTATTTTTACTGCATCAAAAATGCAATAAAATCAAATAATATGGGAGCTGGTTGTGTTCAATACTGTTTACAAAAGAGTAGCCCATGTTCTGATAAGGCAGGGGTGGGTAATCTTATCCAGAAAGGACCATTGTGTTTGCGGGTTTTCGCTGCAACTCCCCAGTTAGACTATCAATTAGAGGACTGATTGGCTGAAAAGTCCTCGCACCTGGGTTCGAACAGCTGACCTAAAGGTTATCCCAAAAACCTGCACACACACTGGCCCTTTGTGAATACGATTGCTCACCCCTGTGATAAGGGTTTTGTAAGAAACTACTCCCTGTGCCACAGCATAAGGGTGGCCAGCCCTAGTGTGATCTCAGGCCTGAATGAGCAGGTTCTCGTGGATTTCTGGACCTCCTCCTTGTTCCCACAATACACAACTCAGGGTTTTGGCACATCCAATTCAGTAGTGATTCCTCGATCCCTCATGGAATCCAGGGTGACCAGATAATCAATGTCAGGGAGGACCCTTCGAGCTAGGACAGGGTTTGTAAACTACCATTTCAGCTAAAAGCACCCAGATTTATTTATTTATATCCTTTATTTAACCAGGAGAAGCCCATTGAGATTAAAAATCTCTTTTGCAAGGGAGACCTGGCCAAGATAGGCAGCTAAGTTAGATTTCTCTTAAGCAATGAATTCTTGCTGCATGCTGATTGGTCAGTCTCCTATAATCATGCATGTCACTAATGTTAGAAACAGCTGGATGAGTTGGATAATGTGTGAAACAGCTGGATGAGTCTTTCAGTCAAGGAAACAAACCAGTCACTGGACCACTGAACAACTGAGCTATTTAGCACTGAAGCCTTTCAGTTTTAAAGTAGTTTGTAAAACCTGAAGCAGCTCAAAGTGTCCTGCCTGACATGGATTATCTGGTCACCCTAATGGAAACAAACAGACTTTCTGATATAAGAACAACAGATATGGGTCAGAGAAGCAAATGTCACTCCTTCCTTAAAACCGATTTATGGAGGCAGAGGCCTGAAAGCACAAGAATGTTAAAGACGTAAGCAAAATCGAGCTAAAACATTCAAGGCCTTTTTTCCTTTGTGCAATACAGCACAATTAAAAAATTAATAAAACATTTTCAAACAGTTTCAAGCGTGCCACAGTGTTCTGGTAACACTGGTGGAAGATATAGCAGTTACATCAGCATCTGGTCCTGGTTGCAAATAATCAGCAGATGGCAGCTGCCTCACCACAAAACCCTCTGAAAGGAACACAAACCCACAAATCAGTGACAAACAAAATGCAACCAATAAGCAAACGCCAATAAAGCAAAAACCAATCAGCACACAGCATCAACAAGCATACAGCAGCCAATCAGCACAAAAGCCTACAGCTACTGATCAGCTTTCATAACTGGACATGGATTAAAAGATTAATTTGCCTCCAGCCTCATTCAAAATAAGCCAGCTACACAGTTTTAAGATCAAAGAACATTTGGATTGAAGCAAGCAGGGTGTGGTAAGCATTTAACCTGGAAATCTGATCTCAGTTCAGAACACAGCACTTTCATCATCCTTAAACAAAGACTGTTCTGTGAAACCTTTGCCCACTAAAATTACATGCAGCTGGTCATCTGATGACAAAGCTTCTGTGACTTGGGAAGCTTAAGAAGTAGATCAATTTTTTTTATTATTATAACTGAGACAAACACAGTCACATGTTTTCTTTAAATCAGGCTATAAACCTCTGGAGTCCCCACTGACCCCCCAAACTAAATGGATTAAGAAAGTAGTGCACCTCATAACTGCTTACCTGAAGCACGACAGCGGCGATTATAGCCAGCAGGGCCATCTTGGCCAGCCACCCTAAATGGCTCACGTTAACCTGCTTGAGGATGAAGAAGCGAGCCCAGCCCAGCTTTTCCGCCGTATGGGGTGGGTAGCGCATCTTGTTCAGGCTCTCCATGGCCAGCGACTTCACCAGGCAGCTCTTTAAATGGCTCAGTCGGTCAAAGGTGTGCTTGCCATGGTAGGTGCCAATCCCACTGTTGCCTGTAGGGGGAGACAAAGTTCAGCATTTAGAACACTGAGTGACTATAAATTCATCTAACCTGCAACGCATGGCCTCCCTGACTTACCCACTCCTCCAAAGGGCAGTGCGCTGACAGAGTACTGCACTAGACAGTCGTTGGCCAGGACGCCCCCACTGGACGTCTCGGCAATCAGCCGCTGGATCAGCTGTGAGAGTGAGACAGAGCTGCTTAGCCACTACACAGAGTGTCACCCGTATCACACCAACTGCCGCTGTTACATACTGGGTCTCTGCATTAGGGGTGTAGTGGCACACAAGTTCTGTGGTTCAGTACAAACCTCAGTTGAGTTCACAGGTCGGTGCAATTTTGGTACGGCAGGGAAAAAACGGAATTTGTTTTTAAATTGTTTATTATTAAAACTGCAAAGAATTAGATAAAGTTGTAAACCAAATAAAAGGTAAAACAAATGCTTATTTGACCATAGTAAAAATAAACAAGTAAAATAAATAATAAAAAGACTGCATCATAACAATCATAATGAAGTATATCCCATCTAAATCCTGAGTTCTCTGCTACTGAGTATGGTCGTATACTCATAGTGATTAACACCCCTATAGCTTTAGTTACTTATTTAGACCAGTCTGAATCTCCTGGCAAAAGCACCTCAAATGCCATATCTTGCTATAACAGAGCCGGCAGACAGTCTTATCAAACTCTTTCCAGTGTTGCTGTAATTTATTGGGAAACAAGAATGTTCCTAAATTATTAGACACAGTTGTAAACCAAACATAAGGGGGTGTGCCTGCCAATGAGTCTGAATAACAACACCTAAGACACACTTATAGTACATTGTAAAAATAAATATGTAGAATAAATAAAAATCCAAACACAAGACTGCACCATAACAATTATCATGAACAAAATCCCAGTTGTGTTGGTTGGTGGGGTTCCGCAAATTAGTGAAATGCCTGTTATCAAGGCAATAGGTGGCTATTATTAGGAAGTTTTTTTATTTTCAATGCCAAGTTGGGTTTCCATTTCCAAGTATTTACAGAAAAATTATACGATATAAAACACGGGAAAGCCAAATATCCAGCAAGTAATCAAACTAACTTGCGAGGTATAGACCGGGTTTCAACTATTCCCATCCTGGAGGGACAGTCTGCAACACACTTGTACTACTAAACCTGGAAATGTGAGCTGATTAAGGTGTGTTTGAGCAGGGAAATCTGCAAACTGTGTTGCAAACTGGCCCTTCAGGACTGGAACTGGAGAACTTTACAGCATATGGGTGGTGCTTCACAACAAACAGGCAGGCCCTCGTTGTATGTGGGCGCTACCATATCATGCCTGGGGACACTACCTTGTTGTCTGAAGAAAAGACATAGAGAGTCAGTGGCTTCTCCCTCTCCTTGATGAAGTGGATGGCTTCATCGACACCACTGACTGGCACTATGGGTAGCAAAGGCCCAAAGATTTCTTCCTGCATCACCTTGGCCTCAGCCTTCACATCCCTCAACACCGTAGGAGCTAGACAGAATGGATGCAGATGTAAAAGCTGGAACTGAATCGGTATAAGCACAACCAGGGCTATTAAACTGCTAAGAGGACGAGCACATGGAACAAGGAAATGTTAAGCACAATACATGCATGCAGCTGCCCTTAACTACAGATAGAGAATCACTAGATAGGACCCACCATGTAACTGCAGAAGGTTCATTCACTGTTAATACAAAATATTATAAAATCTATGGTATGTTGTATGTATCACCTAACAAATGGTCAATGTTTTATTTAGAAATGGACGCTAGTGATGGACGAAATAAGGCTTCATGAACCAATTGTCCTTTTAACCCCATTAGATAGTGCTCTTGGTTTGCTTTGTGCCCTTTTTTGAATGTAGAGCACCATCTAGTGGGGTCAAAAAAATACAGCAAATGGTTCATGAAGCTTCATTTTGTCCATCTCTAATGGACCAAGTTACATACCAATGTAGCACTGGGACTCTTCATTCTCCCCGCCCAGGGCCACCTTGCTGTCCTCCATCATTGCCATCACCCTCTTGAAGTGCCGTGCGTTAATGACGCGGCCATAATCGGCACACGTCTTCGGGTCATCTGTGTAGAACTCCTGAAAAGGTACAAAAGCAGCAGACTCATATCTGCTGAAACATAGGAGACCTCGACAGAATACCGAAGTTTATTTTTGGTTTTCATTTTCTCTGACCTTCACTGCCTTCCTGATTTCCTCTATCACTCTGTCCTGGATGGAGGGGTTACACAGAATGTAGTCTGGGGCGATGCATGTCTGACCGCAGTTGGTAAATTTACCCCAAGTAATGCGGCTGTGGATCCAGGAACAAGAGACAGTCAGTGTAACATGGCTAGAACAATTTATGTCCTTATCTATGCGCATTAGTTTCTCTTTGGCCTTAAACCTGCAACCTTCTGGCATACCGGCAAGCAATGGCAAGGTCGCAGCATTTGTCGATGTAGCAGGGGCTTTTACCCCCTAACTCCAGGGTGACGGGGGTGAGGTGGCGGGAAGCAGCCTCCATCACAACTTTACCCACTGTGCTGTTCCCTGTATAGAAGATGTGGTCGAAGCGCTGCTTCAGCAGCTCCTGGGTCTCCTGAACCCCACCTGTCACCACGGGGTACAGCTCCTGGAGCAATGAGAAGACATTGTCATTCATGGTGGACAACTGACACGGACACAAACGCAGGCAGGTCTCATTGATACAGAGACACAGATAAACACACATTCCAATGTGGGTACCTTGTCAAGGTAGAGGGGGAGGAGCTCCTCCATCACCTTGGCAGTATGAGCGCTGACCTCCGACGGCTTCACTACCGCAGCATTACCTGGAGAGGGCCAACACACCCCAGTTAACATCTTTATCAAACCAATGCCATGTGCTCGAACAGACTTGCATTTCATTCAGCGTGCCTCAAATCACATCATACTCTTTGCACACAAGCACTACAGTATTAATAACATTTTGAAATTACTGCCATTACGAGTGCATTAACGGCTGATCAACAAAATTAACACTGTCATATAACTGAGGAGACATTATATACTTGTAAGTAGTGATGGTCAAATGAAGCTTTATATTTCTTGTATATTTTGACCGGATTATTTGGGGCATGCTTTAACAGAGAGCACCATCTAGTGGGGTTAGACAATACAGCAAATGGTTCATGAAGCTTCATTTGGCCATCTTTACTTGTAAGTCACTTTGGACAAAAGTCCAAAAGTAAGTAAGTCAGTAAGTCTTTCTCTTATTTTTTTTTCTTTCCTTCCTTGCTCCGTCTTCCTTTTCCCCTGTTTTTGAAGTATTCTGTATAAATGATGCAGGAATGTACCACAACAACGCCCTGGGAGAAGTCGGTTGTGAAAGTCGCTATATAAAAATAAATTGGATTGAATTGACCACAGGGTTTGGGTTGGCCATTTATCCAGCCTCCCTGAAGTGGTTATTGGAGGCCTTGTTCAAGAACTCAACAATGATATGATTACTCTGCCAGACATGGGATTTGAACTAACAACTTTCTAGACACAGGTAGATTCCTAATTTGCAGAACCACGCACTGTCCCTAAAGCAGAGCAGCATCCCTGGGTGGAACCTCATGCTTTTACTGCAGAAGCAATTCTGGCCCTTTCTTCCGTACACACAAGGACATCTCAAAATACATTTCACATGGACCAGTCCTCTTGCTGGCACAGAAGGTGTCATTTACAGATCAGTCTCAGGAGCACTTTATCACAAGCATTTTTGGACCTTGGACCATGTAGTATAGCTGTTAAGAAATGTATTTTGTCACCAAAAGCTGACACGTTCACGTCCCAGGCAATTCTTCAGAACAATAGCTTTAGTAATATCAAAGAATAATATACAAAAAGTGCAAAACTGCACTTTTAAAGTTACTGAAACATCACCTACTATGTAATGGAGAATCGTCGGAAGTACAGAACAGCCACACTCAAAACCAGACCACCACGTATATCAGTAGGCAGCCCAATTCAACAGAATGCTGGGTCATGTTTACACTGGCTGGAACTTCAGGCAGTTGTGTAACAGTCACACACCTTTCGCAAAGAGTCCGCCACACAGTGCGAACCATTCATGAGCCACCGTGATGCATCACTACGGCGGTGTGAGGCCAGCAGAAGAGTAAACGTGAACCTCAGGCTCCCTACAGAAGCCCTTTCACAGGAAATAATTATGTAATGTTATGCCAGATAACTCACTCCCTTAGTATAACCTGCAAATTTTGAGCAATCTGATAAGCAGCGCCATTGCCTCCACTAATGTGGAGGTAGACAGGGGCACATGCAGAAGGTTCAAATGCCCTTTATTACACCTGAAGCAGTTCAGTTAAAGGTGATGATACACAGAGCAACGTTTTGAACAATGTTCCCAGGGATTTGCCAATCAGGTGAGACAAAGGGCAACTCATCTGTATCTGGGTGATCGCAAAAAGTTGCCCACTGCCAAAAGTTTTTAAAATAAAAATTTGTTGCCCAATATCAATGACATACTTCCTGAGGAATATTTCTCAACAACATTGCCCAACAATATTGCTCAAAAGGTTGCCCTAAGTGTCACCCTAACTGTCCTAACTATCCTGAAGCTAAAGTGCAGAGAAAATGCCCTTGTGATCGAATCATTGCAGCTCTGTGCAAAGTCCATGTTAAAGGTCTTTGGATCAGAGTTTTCATGGGGAACTGAGCTGAAAGGCTGGCCAGCAGAGACAGGCAGCTCCAGGGAGCCAGGACGTACCTGCGGCAATGGCTCCAATGAGGGGCTGGATGGTCACTGCCCAGGGATAGTTCCAAGCCCCGATGATCAGTACCACTCCCAGTGGCTCGGGCCGGATGTACACCTTGTCTGAAATGGTGAGTAGGGTTTTCTCCACCGGCTGTGGCGCCGTCCACTCTGCCAGCCGGTCTACGGCCAGTGAGATCTCACCCTCCAGACCCATCGTTTCGTATAGAGGTGTTCCATGCTCACTCTGCATGAAAGCGGAGCACAGGCATACGTACGAAAGCATCACTCCAGACATTTCTCATGTGCGGTTTGCTGATGGTGCAATGAACACACTGCAAAAACAGCTGGGCTAACGAAAAAGATTCATACTCATAACAATCCAGGACAAATAAATAAATAAATCACAGGATGAGGAACAGCTGCTTGATTTTCATAAGGAGATTTAAGAGACTTGAAATTAATGGTGCAAAAATCTTATATCAGAAATAAGTGTTGAAGCAAAAAAGTAAATACTGCACCACCCCCATATGCACACCGGTAGCCTTTAGGCCCAATTCAGGGAGCAGGGACAAATCTAAAGAAATTGGCCACTGCTGTCGCCTACCTTGTGGAGGTCTTTCTTGAGGGCCAGAGCGATGTCCTTTTGTCGCTCCACCAGGAAACGCTGTAGAGATTTCAGCTGGTGGATTCTGTGCTCTAGAGGTATGGACCTCCCAGTAAGGAAAGCCCTGCGGGCTGTATCCACCGCCTGCCTCTCCCGGGACATGCTGCATTGGGGGAACATCACCAAGCTATCAGCACCATGTCTAAATTTGAAATTAGGTTCCTCCTGGTGTAGGGGACACTGGCCGGACCCTGAAGCAGATTGTGGGTGTATCACTTTAAGACTCTCAATGGTTGCGTAATTAATGCCACGTTTTTCCCAATCAGCTCCTGCTCAGCATTTATGTGAAGTGACGCACTTTTCGTGGAGCTCTTCCTATTCCCAATCCATTCATCCATTAGGTCCTCAAAGCTGCGATTAAAATTTCACTAAACGATATTAAAATAAAAGCCCGCTGCTCTTAAACTGTCTTAAATTTTGTTGTCAGCGCTGAATGTCCAAATGGGAGACGGGCATTACTTACTTTGACATCGCTTGTTTGTGATTATTTATATGTATTTTGACAAGTGGTCAGTTGCGTTTTAAGCCCAATTAGTTGAAATAAAAGTGAAAAAATAACTTCAAAAACATCGAGTTTCGCATTGCATAATACACGAAGTAATTCGATCGACGTGATATCATGTGATGCGTATGTTAGAATACGTCTAATAAGGCATTTTAAAAAGTCATACATTGAACTAGGCTAGGATATGAAGTTGTGTGTTATATGCTTGGACGATGCTAGTGTGCGCCACTGATCGCTTTATTATCTATAAAGTAGAAATAAAGTCTATCCAGCCGCACGCGACCTTCAGCCTCATTCCATCACAGTTATCATGATGGGTTCTCTTAATAATTACCAAGGGTTAACACTATTGCGAATTCTGACGGGTCATTTTGATCAAAATGCATTTTTTACCACCGGTAAGGATATTTAATATCGGAGCCCACGTTGTTTTTATTTATTTTTTTTCCTCAGTTTTCCTCATGTTGCGTTGCAAACATTTTGCAACGCAAACAGATGAGTGTTGCCACGGACACGTTTGTCCGTGTACGGAGAGGCTGGCGATCCCAGATCTTTACCTTTAAACGTTTTATCTGAAGACAGTGTCGGCAGGAGCGACCTCAGAAACCGGCTGCAAACGTCCACTTGTAGGCGAAGCAACAAAGACCAAACGAACTGCTCCTGGTCGGGCTAGCTGGAGTTCCAGGCTGTGCTGCCTGCGGATCCGTTACATAGGTCCGCTACCAGCCGGCTAGACAGACCACGCCCCCAGCGACCATTTTGGTCCCAGGCCGCATCACGATTGGTCAGAACAACTGTCACTCAAACTGTTTTCCGGAATGTTTCGCCTCCAGGCCCAAATAATGACGCAGGAGCCGTCATATTCTTAGAATGATTAGCTAAGTTTGCCGTTGTTAGTATAATAAAATAATTGCACAATACTGTATACTTAAGTATTTACCCGCAGTCGTGATCATTTGTTTAAAATGGATATGACAATTCCGTGCAGTGACCTAGAAAATACACAATATTGTGGAAGATGTAGCTTACAATGTAATAATTTTAGAATAAATTTTTTATGTAAATTTAGTTTTGCCCATTTTTTCTATCGGTTTTGACTGTCGTATTATTTGTATTGTCACAGCTGGCAAAATTATGCCTATTTCACTTAACACACTGTGCTTTGTTGACCTTGGATGAACGTCTTCGTACGAAACACAGCAGGAATGTCTCGGATGGAGGTGCAAAAATGAGAAAAGTAGTCAAGTGTAGCCCTCACATTTGATATGAATAAGCCTTATTTTTAATTAAAACTTAAACGGGGAACCATTTTGCTCAGTGGGGAAAAAAATCCGATGTGATGTGATATCCACGTCTACAGAAATCCACTTGTGTATTTCACTGGAGAGAAAATTTACAGCTTGAAACGTTCACACCTCTGCCTGACCTTCCTCAGCTTCCTAACATTCTCATGCCAAAAGCAGGACAAGAGAGGCGAAGGAGGCCTCCCAGAATTTGGGGGTATAATTTTGCAAAACGGCATATTTTTTGTACTTTTTGGGTATGAATAAGAATTCACTGTAAGCATGAGCACATAACAAGCTTATATCAGACTACTAACATTTTCTTAAAGGACCACAATTAACATGAAATTCAAGGTTCCTTTAATTATCCACCTGGTAATTAATGCATCCCCAGTGATTCCTCTACTTAGAAACTGAACCACACAGTACCGTTTTCATTTGAAAAATAGGTCGCAGACCACAGAAAAGTGAAATACCTACATCCATTGGTGATGTATATTCCCAGGTATAAATATTCTGTTGAACAAGAAAGATTAAGAAAGGGGATTAATACATTCTGTCATTTCTTGAATAGTACAGTACACATTTACATGATTTTTCTTTTGTTAGACAATTTTTCCTGAATTCTCACCCATAGGCATAACAGATACACCAGGTTAAAGTACTCCTATTATACCAGGGAGATACCTAACCCTCTTCCACTTCAGAAGCTGCTTTTTGCTGGCTCGTCACACAGAGGCCTTCCACAGCACCCTTCATGCTATCTCATAACTCTCAGAACAGGAAACACTCACTGCCAACCCCCCCAGTGGATTAGCTCTGCGGCAAAGTATTTCCTGCGTCTATAACGGAGTGTTATCTCCTGGTGGAGATGCCCACAGAACGACCCAGTAACAGCCATCTTGGTTGTAAAGTTTTCAACAGCAAAACACATCCCATACTGATCTTAACAAATATTTACAAGAGTAAAAGAATCTTAGGGTCACTGGGATGGGACAGTGGGTGTGCAGGATAGTAGGGGGATTGTGATAGCATCAGTAATGCCGAGTTCCAACTGAATCTCAGCACAGTACCTCTCTAAAGCAGTGTTTCTCAGACCAATTCTCGGGGACCCCCATACAGTCCATGTTTTTACTCCCTCCCAACTCCCAGGGAATTGGGGGAGAAGAAAAATGGGGACCGTCTGGGTTCCCTGAGGACTGGTCAGAGAAGTGCCACACTAAAGAGCATCTGGCTTTCACCTGCTTCCTCACACATTCATAAACATGATATGCAAAACAAGATATTTACACTGGAAAAACGGTCAGCTATATTAAGTTATAAATATATCAACATCTTCTAACAAATGTATATAATTTAATAAAAAATATTGTTCCGATGCTGTTTTTTTTTTACTTTCAGATGTCCCGTTTTCCCGTGTCGGAAGACTGCTGACGTGTTGGTCATTGTGTTTCTGTGTTGATCTGTTTTTCCTGAGATGGGGTCATGGTCTACGGCAACAGTGGGTATGTCGCTCACCATGACGTCACCACCGAGGGGGTGGAGCCAGGTGAGGACCTTAGGGGTGGAGTCAATGTGTCAGAACTCCAATCATACTGTAGCACTCCCACCATGTAAGTAAACAGCTGTAGTCTCCTCTGCTGCTGATACTGCTGTTGATATTTCTGTGATGTTTGTATTTGTGTGTGTGTTCTAGCATTTCTTAGTATTCCTGCCAAACACAAATAAACCCATCTGTTCATTCAGCACAGTGAGACAAGTTCCAACACTCTCTGCAAACCTTATTACATTTTAAATCAATAAAGTATCAACACTTCCAGGTCCAGTGGCGACACTCTGAAGTTGGCTAACCCTTGCCCTTTATCATCTGGTTCTTCTGTGTTTGATACCACATACTGTATGATTTCCTTTCTCGTCACGATCCTCCATGCCGAACTGGTCGCATATCTCATGTCAGCGAGCTGTTCGGCACCCGGGATCTGCCCTTCAATTTAGTGTCCCCTGTGTTCCTCCGTTCTTCAGAAGTTCTCTTAGGTGTTTCGGCTTGGTTTTGGCTTCTATCCAAGCAGCGAGTGACCACGTGGTTCCGGTAAGGGGAGGGGGGTTCTGTCCACCGAAACAAGACGCGGCATTTGCTAGGTCAGTGCTGCTATCCGCCGGTCCACGCTGGCTTTGCCTGGACAAGGAGAAGTACGAACATTGGTGTGCCAATGTATACCTCAATGCTCTGCAGGTGTGTACAGGTTCAGTTTGGACAGATACAGCTTCTCATATAGAGATGCTCCTCGCTTTACTATGGTTCGACTTTTGGCTTTACGGTGGTACAACAGTGATGCATATTCACATTGATCTGTTCCCAGTTAGCGATATGCTGTACGATACTTTCTACTAAAGCAGGGCGATGGCAGCATTCACCCATAAAAACTTGTATTTACTTTTCAGTTGCTGGTATTTAGTTAGTTCCAGTAATTAGTCATTTACTTTTACAGTGACAACAGTTATTACTAATTCATCCATCCATCCATCAATCCATCCATCCATTTTCTGAACCCGCTTTTTCCAATTCAGGGTCATGAGGGGTCTGGAGCCCATCCTGGAAGCTACGGACTTAAGGCAGGGAATAACCTAGGATGGGTTGCCAACCTATCGCAGAACACACTCGTACACCATTTGTCATAAAATACTCATATTTGACTTAAGATAATCTTTGTTTATGTTGGGTTCATTGGATCATAACCCCATCGTAAGTCAAGGAGCATCTGTACTAACTTAATAAAAAAGAATTTACCCAACACTTGACTAACAAACTGTTCTGAATGTTTTATATAAGTGGGACACTGACCATCCCTCAATGCATTATGGGATAGTCTTTTTATTATAGAAAGGGCCAATAGAGAGGCCAGACACACTCACACTTGTTGACGTTCTCAATATCGATGGGGTCCTGCAGAATTTTGGACAAGCCCTGCAGGAGCACAGACGCCGCCGTGTAGCGCTGGCTGATGTCGGCCCCCTGCTGGAACATCTCATCCAGTGCAGCAGACTTGACCTGAGCCGTTAGCAAAAGTGGAGTACCACAGTAAAATATTATGGCACAAAGACGGGGTTAACAGATGTGGTGCTTCTGTGATAGTTACGTTGCAAGCTTGGCTATGTGGTTGCGATGGACAAATGAAGCTTTATGAACCATTTGCTATATTTTCTGACACCACTAGATGGTGCTGTCTATTCAAAAAAAGGGCTCAACTCATGCCCAAAAGCAAACCAAGACCGCCATCTAGTGGGGTCAAAAAATGGTCCATGAAGCTTCCTTTGGCAATCACTACACCATGAAACTGCTGATCCAACCCATGTCTCAGAATCATATGGATAAGTACCTGATTAGGGAATACCTTTAAGGTTTTTGTACTTGCATGATGTAAGCAGTCCTCTTGTTAAGTGCCAACTCTTTTTTTCCAGTGTTACATTTCCTGTGCTTATTCTTCTCTTATTCACATTAGGTAGCTGCGCAGTACTAGACTCAGACTCATACGTCTGCATGAAGAAGGACAGTGCAGGGACGTGGGTGCCAAAGGCGGCTCCGGCCCAACGCACACGGAGCCTCACCATGTCCACCGCATGGTTGTAGATGAGTTTCTCCGCAGCTACGCTGGCGACCTCATCCACAAAGCGCTGCTTGTCAGAGAAGAAGCCATGGAGCTGCTCGGTGAGGAGGCGGCAGGACGCGACGCTGGTCTTGTAGCGATCGTTCAGATCCCTCACCACTGTGACAGTGGGGTAGAGCGACGTGACAGAGCCTCTGAGGAACACAATGCTACACAGAAGTAGGTCAGCCTGTACCACAGGGGCGTCATATTTAGAGCATCAATCTACTTTAGAGGAGTGAAAACAAGGACATTTGGAGGGCAGACGTCTGCTGCTATTAAGAAACCGTCTTTACAAGAAGGGAAAACCATCACAGACCTCTCACACATGGGCCACAAACTCTTTGAACTTCTCCCCTCTGGCGAGCTCTACACATCACTTTGTGCAAAACAATTTCAGTACCAGAACACAAGCCATCAGTCTTATGGAGAGCTGACCCAGTTCCCTCAGCCCAATTGCAGTGTTATCACGCCCATCACCACGCAAAACCTGAAATAGCTCTCTGCTTATGGTGTTGTATGCATTGTATTTATTCCAACATTGCTTGCACTGAAATCCAGACTTGCACTTTTTGTACATCTATCATCCACACGTGCACAATGTATATATCAACTGGACTATGTGTGACCGTCTACTGTTCGTATGACAGCCATAGACAACCAGAGACAAATTCCCTGTGTGTGTGTGTGTGTGTGTATGTGTGTGTGTGAACATACTTGGCCAATAAACCTGATCCGGATTCTCAGACTGTGTGTTTTATGGAATTCCTGAGAAGACTGAGCTCTGTAACCCAGATTTCTCAGCATCAGTAGACCGTGATGCCCTCATCGGCCATCTGTGGCATGGCCCCAAGGACTGGGGTTTAAGGGGGCGTGAGGTCTCCCTTCTGGTCTCGCTGTTTAAGTTGAATCACTTCAGTAAATCCCACCTGTGCAGGCTCTTCATACTGCATTTTAAAGCTTCTGAGGATAAGATGCGCTACCCAATGAAATATTCTTACATAAGCATTACTATTTATGTCTCAGACTTTTCTCTTCAAATCTTCATCAGGACTTCGCAACCTTGGTCCAAGAGAGCTGCAGGACATTGCTGGCTATCATTCAGTATAGCGAGTCTTTGATGAACATATTGGATTAAAAAGTACTGGGAAGCATTCATTCAGCTTGTCAGTAAAATCTTGATCTACCACAAATGGTGCTTTTCCACTGACATACAGGAACAGCATCAGAAATCCTTTCAGTTCAACTGTTTAATAGTACTTTTTTAAGTAGGAGGTTGGAAATTCTCAAGTTCCGATTTATCGGGAATTCACCAGTATATTGCGATGTGTGATACTACTAATAATGAATAATATAGAATATACACTTTTTACTTAAGATAATCCATGCACAGAACACTGGTATCTCCATGCATTTCCACCAATCAGATGGTGGTGATGCAACCAGCCAGTAAGCTGAACTATGTCAGCGTGCTTACAGCTTGAGTACGGCTCGGGTATGACCCGGGTTTGACCTGGGTATGGCTCTGGTACGGCTCGGGTACGGCTGGGCACTTGGTGGCAGTGAAGAAGCGTCATAAGAGCAGTACAGCAGGACCTGCTCAGGACCCTGAGAATCATTCAGCCAGTTCCTCCATTAAGTCATAATGAAGAGGAGATCAGGTGGGCCTGAGACCATCTTCAGACCCGGAACTACCAGCTCTGCAGCCCAGGGTTAACAGATTGACTGCTTAAATCTGGACTCCTGCAGGACCCACCTTGTTTGACGGCAGTTGAGGGCTGCAGCTTGGCCGACGTGACCTGAGCTTTGGCGCAGTGCAGAGCAGACGCCAGAACCTGTGCCAGCTTCATGTAGAGGACGAGCTGCTCCACCTGCCTGCAGCGGGCAACACAACGCATAGGCACCTCTTACAGTGCCACTAACTAAGAATGGATGCATGCAAAAAAACAAGACAATTCCAAAGCATTTCCATTGTTTATTATCTTAGAGAATTTAATGGGCATTTCCCCTGGGTTATATGTCTATGTTCTATGTCTATGTCTTACTATATGAAACATGACACAACTGCCTGGATTTACAGTTGGGCTGTAACGGTACGCATATTCACTGGGTGCCATTCATTTAGTTCATTATAATTGCTATTTATTTTACATTTATTTTTACAATATGCAAATAAACGTCTCTTAGGTTTTGTTATTCAGACATATAAACAAACACTGCCAAATGAATTATAATTGCACTTTTAATAATAAACAATTTAAAAACAAACTGTGTTTTCCCTGCTGTACCAAAATTGCTCCAAACCACGAACTCAAAACCGAGGTTTGCACCGAACCATAAATTTTGTGTACCGTTACACCCCTATTTTACAGATGAACTACTTGTAGTTTACGTAAGAATGATGAAGACTCCCAAGTCCCAGAGGGTTGGCCCTCCCCCAACTCACCCCCACTGTTTGCTAAGCTGGCCGACCTGGTCGACCACAACACTGTCCTGGGGACCATAGAGTTCGGCTCCGCCCCCTCGCCGCGTCACCATCTCCAGCACAACATCCGCGAATGACAGCATGATCCGCAGGTGTGCCAGGGTGTCCGCATGCTCCTGCTGTGGAAAAAAAGAACGCCGCAATCCAAGCTGAACAGTCAAGCACCTTGATGATGATGATAGTGTCCTAGAGCAGGGTTTCTCAATCCACTCCTCAGGGACCACCAGCCGGTCCATGTTTTTGCTCTCTCCCAATTCCCTGGCAATTGGGAGAGAGCAAAAATGTGGACTGTCTGGTGGTCCCTGGTGACTGGGTTGAGAATCCCTGTCCTAGAGATGCCCACTCAATTCTACCTGCTACCTAAGCTAGTTCAGTTGGCTCAAATCAGCACTGTCATAAAGTTGTAGGGTCCTAGAGGTCACACCCGTCCTCTCAAGGGAGGAATGAGGGTGTAGAATTTTCGACGAGTGAAGTCACATTTCCATGGTGATGTTTGTGCTGATAGGCCGGGCAACGATTCCTAACAAAAGCATGAATTCAATGGGAAGCAGATCCTTAAACTTATTTTGAACATGGGGGGCGGGGCTTACCTCCATAAGTGTCTCTTCAGGCAGCTCAGGGGCCTCAAACGTAACGAGGTTCTCCAGGCTAGGAGGGGGGCTGGTGTAGGCCGCACCCTGGGGGGGATCTGGCGGCACTATGCCGACCACCCCTCTAACAGTCACTGGGGAGTGGAAGCAGGGAAACACAGCTTAGATATGCTATAGATCAGGGGTGCCCAATACTGGTCCATCACCAAGGTAGTCTGGGAAGATCGTATGGTATAAAAAAATAGAGGATGGATGACGTATTCAACCGCGCCAGCTGCTGCAAAACTCTAGAAAGCTACTGAGTCGCCTAGTTAGCCTCCAGTTTATCTCTACTAAACTTAAAAAAGGGTATAAAAATGAATGGGGGAGCTGGACCAAGTAAGAAGCCAAAAACCTACCACTTCCATATGGAATGGGAGGAGGACTGTTTTTTTTTCACCATGTCATATTCAAAGTGCGTTTGCCTCATCTGTCAGTCTACCATTGCTATTCCGAAGAAGGGAAATGTGGAGCGGCATTTTCGGACTGTTCATAAAAACTACAACATTAACTTCGTTAACGAAAACGAGCTGAGAAAGAGAAAGGTGAAGGAACTGAAATCCCAGTTCAATTAAAAAATACTTTATTTATCCCAAAGGGAAATTTATAATAATAATAGTAATAATAATAATAATAATAATAATAATAAAGAATACTCAATATTTTTATACATAAATATAAGTTTTGTATTTTTATAGTAGGTAGATGATTTTGACTTTATATTTATAAGTAGCTCACAAGCTGAAAAAGTGTGGGCACCCCTGCTCTAGATACAGGATTCGTAGGGCCAGGATACTCTATATCAGTGTTTCCCAGTTCGGCCCTTGGAGACCCACAGACATTCCACATTTTTGCTCCCTCACAGCTTCAGAGCAAAAATGTGAACTGTCGGGCAGGGAGCTTGGAAGGAGCAAAAACATGGACCGACTGTAGGTCCTCGAGGACCGGATTGGGAAACACTGCTCTATGTATACTGGAGTGACAGGAAGTTGCACTAGAAGCCTACCTGCATCCTCAAGCCTCTCCAGGCTGTCAGTGCTGCAGTGGAGAAAACGCCTTCTCAGACCGGGCCCAGGTGATCGATCCGAGATGCGACCAGCACTGACGGACCTTCAGTTGTAATATCAAAAGGGTGACTAACATACTAATGCAAAGACTTAACAGCACAAAAATAACCGTTCAAAGTAGGGCTGCATGATATCACATCATGATTACATGGTGCATGCATAATAATCACCAAGGCTTCAGATGATGGACGCAAACATTTCTCCAGATGCCAGCTTTTTGGTACCTTATGGACAGTTACTTATGCTTTTCCATTGCATGAAGTACTGGACTTATGGTACGGTACTTTTGGTACTTTCTCTTTTCCACTGACTTCCAGTCAAGCACCAGTACCTAAAGTTCCAGTACTGAAAATGCCAAACCAGCTGGGGTACTTATTTGATACTTCAGTACTTTGGGTGGGAGAAGAATTGCTTTCTTTGTTGATTGGTTATGCAAATAGCCTGCCTCTGAAACACAATACAACAGCAATCCTGAAAACAGTTGAGAACTCAGAAAACAACGATAAACAAAGTAAAAAAATAAAACAAATTGTGATCTGATCAGAAGAACAGATACAACAAAAAGATCCGCATGGCATGACAAGAAATTTTAAAAGCATTTTGTTTAATATACTAGGACAACACACATATAGCAAAGTGATTTTGTTGTAAATATAGCAATGTGATTTTGTTGTGAAAAGTAATGGGGTATTTATAAAGCCAAACAGAGTTAATAAATTTCTCAAAAACGCATCTAGGAGTGATTTAAACAGCAAAGGTGAAAATGATTATGATTGTCTCAGGGAATGCATGCAGCGCTTATGCAAAAGCAACAGAAGTTGGTGTCGGTACCAGTTTATATGCCAGTGGAAAATCAATAGCTTGAAGTGTCATATTTTTGGTACTTTCTCGAAGTACCAAAAGTTCGGTACCTGATGCGGTGGAAAAGTGTCCTTAGTAAGCAGATTATGTTTAATAAACGTGTCGGACTTTAAACTGCAAAAAGTGCTGCCACACCCCGGCGTCTTTTTACCTTGTTTATCCTCAATGCTGTGGCTGTTGATTTGTCCCTTTCTTCACCACCACTTCACTACTTATCACTTCCATGATTTACCAAAACGGTAGTATGTGGCGCTCCGCTAACTGGATTTAATTAACAGTAGGATACACTTAATTTATACAGGTTATTAACTTTTGGGTGTCACAATACATATCACATTTCATTAATATTTTAGGCGTACTACTAATGTTCTTACCAAATTGTGGGAGTTAGTAAGCGTCCATATAGTACCAAAAAGCCGGCGTCTGGACAAGACCCATCATCCAAAGCTCTGGTGATTATTGTGCATGTGCCCTATTGTGCAGCCCTAGTAAGTAGAGTAAGTGCAGGTTCTACCTGCCAAAGTGACTCCTTGTGGCCCTGGGGTCTGGCTGACGAGAGCGGGCGCCGTGCATGTTTACATATTGGGGGCAGAAGCTCTGACTTGGGGGGGTCTGGGGAACCTTGAAAGGTGCCACGGTCTGCATGACATCAGGGTAAAACACCTGCCTCATTAATCTGTCCCAGCACCCACGATAAGAGGAAGCGACATGGTGAATTTTGCCTCGGAGGAATAACATTCCGTTGCAATTTTTGAGTTAGGAAGAGGGGAGGGCCTACCTTTGTGGGAGAGCCAATGATGGTGGGGAGTGGGGTCCTCAAGAACCAATCAGAAGAGCGAGGGGTGGTGGCCAGCTGCCAGGTTGGGGTGGTGCCCAAGCTGACAGGACGGGGCTTTTGAGGGGATGGGCAGCTGGACTGGGTCGAGCGAGCAGAGTGCAGGGGGTCGGAGTGCTGCTTGAGGAGCTTTCGCTGAGGTGGCTGTACGTCGGTCTGAGTGGGAGCCCAGTGTATCGGAGATGGAGGTGCTGGAAGGCATGAGAAGTACGGGTGTGTGTGTCCTAACTGTCAAATCAGACACAAAGCAAAGGGCACATCTAATACACACCCACACACACACAGTGCCATGTCTTACCCAGAGGTATGGGGGAGAAAGGCCGGGTGGACCCTGTGGACCGGCGCCGACACACAGGCCGGGATCTGTCTGTAGAGCACACTCTGGGGAAAGCCACAGGACTGGTACTGGAACGACACAGTGGGCTAGACCTGCGGGAGACCCAGGCAGACAGTCATACACACGCTCACATGCACATGCAGTACCAGTCAACAGCCAGGGCACACCTGCTTTTAATGCATGTTATTCACCTTATAGCAAAAGGCCAATGAAGTTATACACGTCAAATATCGCAACATGCAAGACCAATAAGAAGTGTTCAACATCTCAAAATGCTCTTAGACATTAGACTCCTCAAATTAGCCCCCTTTTGCTTCATGACAGCATTGCAGACTCTTGGCATTCTTTCAGCCGACTTCCAGATGTAGCCACCTGCAATGCTTCTCCAACAATCCTGAAGGAGTCTCCACAAGTTCTGGGCACAAGGTGGCCCAGCTCTATGGGGTTTAGGCTGGGGGATTGTGGGGGCCAGGTCATCTGTCGCGGCACTCCATGTCTATCCTTGTTCACAAGGTAATACAGAATATACCACCTTGAGGTGTGCTTAGGGTTGCTCTTTTGTTGAAAAACTAATGACGGTCAGTAGGTGTCTCCAAACCTTTGACTGGTACTGCACATTATCCAGACCTGCTCTGTTCTGCGAAACACTGTAGAATATCAGACAATGTTTACCTGGGGGTGATGACCAGCACAGGCTGGGGGGTCATGGGTCCGGGTGTTAATCTGCCATGGGTGCACTCTGAAGCACCACGTCTGGGGGAGGGCTGAGGCATCCTGGGAGTGGGGGGAGGGGGGAGGTCCCAGAAACAAAACATTAAAAACATCTGTTTTCCCTCCTCCTTTAGCCAAACTGACCACACCCCTCTATCACTACCCAGCAGCTGAGAGAACCTGCTCTCTGCACACACAGCAAGCTTCACAGAGGACGGAGCCTTTACACAGGATGAACCAATTACAGGACGACATACCTTGGGGGTGGAGTTTATCATGTAACAGGCCTCGTATATATTGATATACGAGCTTGGGATATTCCCAAGCTCAAGGCATATCTGGAAATGCACGCATCACACTTTCAGATCTTATATTTAGTACTTATTTTTTAGTCCTTTTACTTCCCCATTTATTTGCAACGATCAGGAACTTTAATGTGGTTGTACTGCAGTGCAATCACAATAAAGCCGTCTATTGTATCCTATTGTCCAACATGTCCCCCCCCCGACATGTCCCCTCCCCTGCAACTGTGGCACAAGAATTTCACTGTGCTCCTCGGAACACACACTATATGGACAAAAGTATTTGACCATTGGCCATGACACCAACAGGACCTTTTATGACATCTCATTCTAATCCATAGGCATGAAAATATGGAGTTTGCCCCCCCCCCCCTTTGCAGCTATAACAGCTGCCACAAGTTTTTGTGTGCATTTGTGAGGTCAGGCACTGATGTTGGACGTGAAGGCCTGGCTCACAATCTCCGCTCTAATTCATCCCAAAGATGTTTGATGGGCTTGAGGTCAGGGCTCTGTGCCGGCCAGTTAGGTTCTTCTGCACCAAACTCCCCAAACCATGTCTTTATGGACCTTGCTTTGTGCACTGGGGCACAGTCATGCTAGAGCACAAGAGGGCCTTTCCCAAACTGTCCCCACAAATTTGGAAGCATAGAATTGTTCCAAATGTCTTGGTTATAGCTATTGGTCCAACTCCATATCGATGCTCAAGAATTTACAATGGGATGTTAGAGAAGTTCTAATGTAATGGCCTGGTAACTGATACTTCTGTCCATATGGTGTCTCGACAATAAAAACCTGGAACCTGAAGGACAGCAGAGTGGAGAGAAGACACAAGGATGGGGGGCAGGAGCGCAGAAGAGTGAAAGAGCTGCTCAGTTTTGTGTGTGTGTGTGTGTGGGGGGGAGGGGGTTACAAAACAGTGTTTTGATTTTTGCGCGCTGCATGTGATAGGCTGTTTGCTGTATGCCCCTGCCCCCATTTCATTCATGGCTTGTTTTGTGACCCCCTCCCCCGCCACACACACACACACACACACACACACACATTCACAGGGACGCCATGTTCTCTGGAAAAACTGGCAAAAAATGCAGCCAGAAAGGAAAGCAGCGGGACAGATTCCACCACCCTGCCGACCAGAACTCAGACTAAACAGGTTGGGGTGGTGCCCAAGCTGACAGGACGGGGCTTTTGAGGGGATGGGCAGCTGCAATCAGACCTGATTTCGCCCCCTGACCACTTTTCAGCAACCTGAGGGAGCAATCACATTATGGGGGGGGGGGGTCTCTCACTGTGGGAGAGTGAGCATCGCCAAGGAAACCCCACTCACCCCGGGAACAGGAGGCATTCGTTAGATGGATGTCGGCCCGCCTTTCCCATTGGTCGAGCCTCACTGCAGGGCACTTGGCCAGCCACTCTCAGGGGCTGGTACTCACTGGAGGGCCTTCGACCAACTGCCTTCATTGGCTGAGACTCAACAGATGGCCTGCGTATGACTGCTCCTATTGGACGACTGGCTGAGATGAGAGCAGAGATAGGTTGGAGGGGACATTGAAAATAAAAATGGTAAAAATGTGTGTGTGTGTGTGTGTGTGTGTGTATGTGTGTAGATTAGGGTTATGCCCATAGAAATGAATGGAGAGTCCTCATAAAAATACGAATACATGGATTGTGTGTGTGTGTGTGTGTGTTTTATCACAATGTGATAAAAACCTGGTATTTTTACATTGTGGGGACCATTTTACATGTCCCCACAAAGATATGTGAATGCAATTAAAAAATTAAAGATGCCAAAAGTCTTGTATTTTGTTTGGATACTTATGATTAAGGTTAGGGCTGTGTAGGGGTTAAAGTCATCATATAGTGATTAGAGTTTTCCCCATAGAAATGAATGAAGAGTCCCCACAAAGATATAATTAGAAACCTGAGTGTGTGCGTGTGTTTGAAGCTCACAAAGACAAGTCCGTCATGAGCCTTGAAAGTTATATGAGTTGTTTGTGAGTGTTGTTTGTGAGTGGTGTTTGTGAGTGTTGTTTGTGAGTGTTGTTTGTGAGTGTTGCAATTCATCTTACTGCACGGAGTCACCACACAGAGGACCCTTGTATCTGAGGCGGTTGCTCCTGTCTTCCTGGACCCACACATGTCATGGGCCGGTTTAATAAAGGTCACCACCGGGTCTGCGAGAGACTGGACCAACACAGGAGTGAATGCTGGGGTACCAAGCCAGGCATAAGCAGTACAACATCAACTCTCAGTAGAAGCCTGTTAGCAGGGGGCAGAGGGGCCTGACCCTTAAACTCTTTCAAGCCCAAGTTCAATTCACTCCAGAAATTACTAATATGCACTAAAGCAAAGAGAACCAAAACTGTACATAGAGGAACATTTTTGCCAATGTGTCTCCTAGGCAACCAGTTAGCGCAACGGCCACTTTGTGAAGCTGCCGTGACTCAGACAACCTTCCGAATTATCATACCCCCCTGGACGGCATTCCTCACCACTGAGGAGCTTGTTCACCAGCCTCCCTACTCATTCCTCCCTTCCCACCACAGATCAGTGGCAGATGCGACCAGGAAGTGAAGCAGTGCTTACCACGGCAGAGGCGGAGTGACAGGAAGGGTGCCGTCCCGGGAAGGGATCCGGGGGCCTGGCCATGAACACCAGGCAGGCTGTGGGAAAACGCAGATTTAAACCCTCGCACACGCACAAAGATATAATCACATGAATGCACCTACAAGCATGCAACAATATATACAGAAATATAGTACATATCATTTATTCATTTTTGCATTTCGTGCACTTTGTTGATTTCTTCCAGCCCAGTATCAATAATGAATTAGCGTACTGAGTGCATCAGCACCGGGAAAAGTGCCAAAGCAGCTTCTCCGCAAATAAACCACCCACTGTTTCCAGAACGAGGGACACACCTGTCCAGTGTTGCTCAGAGACAGGATGACCTAATGCATTACTGATACATCAGTCAATCTGAAAGTAACCTCGTACATTACAGACACTTAATGGTGATATGTATCAATGTAAATGTAACCTTCTTATTTATAATGTCGTAAGGATCAAATGCATCACTGCACTTACATTTCTGGACCATTTCGGTGGCCGTAAGGAAGGGGTGGTTAAAAAAGGCACCTGTATAAAAACAAGGACAGATTCTCACAGAGGCGAAAGGTCTAAATGTGCCTTGGCTTCAGTTCCGACTGGCCCTCGTCCCATTCAACCGCACGATCGCAGATCTGATGATAGGTCTGGCCAAGGGGCCAGTGTCTGGCTGATTGATTGTATGGGCATGCGGTTCCCTCCCTAAGCCTGCGGCTGACCGTGTGACCGTGAGGCTGGCTGACTGACCGAAATCCATGCGATCTTTCTGGTCCCGTTGCAGCAAGCCGAGAAGCAGGTGTGCCAGATGTGGAGAGGTCCCGCTTGGGATCCTGAGACACGAGCAAGAACAAACCAATGTTTACTCACTACCCTACGCCGCCAGATTGTATATATAAAATAATGTTTAATTTCCATAGCGCCTTTCCAGAGCTCAAAGTTGCTTTACAAAATTTTACATTTTACAACAAACCAGGAACATACATAAAAAAAAAAATCAAGTAAAAAATCAAAATGTAAACAAAACATAAAAATGAAATTGAGTAAATTTAAAGCAAACAATACAGACATTATGTAATGTGAGCCTGAAAATCAGAGAAAGGAAAAAGTGTGTTTTAATGTCCGCTTTGCAGGTGGGGAGAGACTGCAGGAGAGTTCCAAAGTTTGGGTGCCATGATACCGAATGATCTACTACCTACGGATGAGAGATGAAAGTTGGCCACTATGAGCGAGCCAGCATCAGAAGACCTTCAGAAGACCATCAGAAGAGTACAGACAGGAGTGTAAGAATGGAGCAGCTCAGTTAAGTACTGCGGCGCGAGGCCACGAAGGGCTGAGAAATTATGTTGTATTGAATGCGGAAAGTGACAGGGAGCCAGTGCTGGTTATACAGAAGAGAAGTGGCATGAGCAAAGCGTTTAGCATGAGCATGAACTCTAGTGGAAGAATTTTGGAGAGTTTTTTTTTTTGGTATTTCAAAAATGGATAAAAAAAAGGTAGAGCAGACCATCCTACTCACTCGGGAACAAGGATCCGGTTCTTCTCATAAAAGAGCCTCAGTTCCTGGGGACAACTCGCCTATGAAGAGCCCAAGAGCAGGATGAGTGAGGAGAAACGGTTCCATGAAAAGCCAGGGTTTCATGACTTAGAACTCATACTCCAGAAAGTACAAATCCATACCAAGATTTTAAGCAGTTGAGCTGGATTTTTACTTTCTGGACCTGAACTCTCCACCCCTGACTGTTAAGGCAGCTTTATGCTCACCTGGAACGGCGGCCTGCCCACCAGACACTGGTATACCACTGCCCCGATGCTCCACAGGTCTGCCTTGGCACCGTAGTTCTGGGACATGATCACCTCTGGAGCCTGAAGGTGAGCAGACAGGGGGGGTAGGAGCATAAATACTGAACTAGAGTTGGTTTGTGTGGATAGCATTCCAAAAAATGACTTTGATTCTGAAATACTGGGCATGCTCTCCTTGTGGGTGTGGTTATTCAGGACCAGTCTCATTCAAATTCAAAATTATTTATATAGCACATTTTCACAACATTACAATGTCTAAAAGCACTTCACATTGTCCCTGCCCATTGCCCCCCAGAGAGCAAGCCTGAGGTGACAGCAGCAAGGAAAAACTCCCTAGTAGGAAGAAACCTTGAGAGAAACCGGCCTCAAAGGGCACGAGATACAAGGTGTCTTGATAAATCAGTATCTTGACTCCTGTCCAGAACCCACATCACAGCACGCAGCATTGACTCCCGTCCAGAACCCAGATCACGGCATGCGGCAGTGACTCCCGTCCAGAACCCAGATCACGGCACGCGGCACTGACTCCCATCCAGAACCCACATTACAGCACGTGGCATTGACTCTCATCCAGAACCCAGATAACGGCACGCGGCATTGACTCAGACCCAGAACCCAGATTAAGGCACACGGCACTGACTCCTGTAAAGAACCCAGATCACGGCACGCGGCACTGACTCCCATCTAGAACCCAGATCACGGCACGCGGCATTGACTCCCATCCAGAACCCACAACACGGCACGTGGCATTGACTCCCGTCCTGAACCCAGATCACTGCACACGGCCTTGATTCCTGTATAGAACCCAAATGATGGCATGCGGCAGTGACTCCCGTCCAGAACCCAGATCACGGCACGCGGCATTGACTCCCATCCAGAACCCACAACACGGCATGTGGCATTTACTCCCATCCTGAACCCAGATCACGGCACACGGCATTGACTCCCATCCAGAACCCACATTATGGCACGTGGCATTGACTCTCATCCAGAACCCAGATGACGTCATGCGGCATTGACTCTCATCCAGAACCCAGATGACGGCACGTGGCATTGACTCTCGTCCTGAACCCAGATGACGGCACACGGCAGTGACTCCCGTGGAGCTCAGCATTCCGTCCACCAGCCCGCTCATTGCTGATGATGACCTGAGGTTAAACACTCACCATGTACATGGGAGACCCACAGAGCGTGGCCGCCGTCATGTTGTTCTGGAGGTGCCGAGCAAAGCCAAAGTCACCTGAGGGACACAGGGAACGTCTGCTTACTGGTGTCACTTAATGGGGACACCAGTCTACGTGGTGTAATTTCACTTTCCAAGAGACTGAAAGTTTGTTTAAAAAATGTTGGCTCTGTCTTTTCTGACTCTATTATGTGTGATTTCCAGAGGCGGACATTTCTGGTCTAGAAAGTAAAAATCCAAACCAGGATTTTATTTCAACCAACTGGTTGAGTATAATGAGTCACAGTCAGAGTACTCAACTGGTTGGTTGAAACAAAATCCTGGAAATGTCCGCCTCTGGTGATTTCTTCATCAAAACCCCCCCAGCTGGCTTCATGAGACCTGAATTCCAGAACTGAAAGGTGCACAGAGCAATCTGGATAACTAATGGGCCAGAGAGAATGATTGGCGGGTGCATGCACCAATGGGCAGGCCTCAGCTTTAGACTGGGTGGGGTAAGCTCACCTATCTTGACACGGATCCCAGAGGGACCGGACTTCTTGCTGCCTGTGTGTGACAGCAAGATGTTCTGAGGCTTGAGGTCCCGGTGAACGACTCCCCTGCTGTGGAGCACTTGCATGGCAGCTGCAATCTGCTTGAGAAGAGCTCGCAGAATGTCTTCCCTCAGGGGGCCGTGAGCTGGGGGGGGGGGATAGAAGGCCGCATATGGTATTCAGGTTTATTATCTTTCCTCGTCTTGCAGATTTATCTATTCATAACACCCCTATGCTTGACAAAAGGCTTCCATAATACACGCTGGGTGTTTCTCATTACCAAGAATGCAAAAATCGTACTTGTGGTCTTGGCAAGACAGGTCTTGCTAACTTGCCTCCCAAGCACGAACTTGGGCGCAATAAATCATGGGATTGGTCTCGTTCAGCGAGGATGCGACTGATGCATCCTTGATATTTGGGGCGGAGCAAGACCAACATCCAGGGACTTTTACCGACCTCTGCGCTTGTGTTCTTAGTATTGGAACTGGTCTTCTGCGATGGAAGATGACGTTAAGTAGGTCCAACGAGAACACAAGTATGTTCAAGTACTCATGTTGAGAAATACCCACTGTCATGCAACACGAGTCACAGGGCACCATTCAGAAGATTTAGCACCACCTTGTGGACCCCCCAGGAGGTGTCAAGAAGTCCGACTCAAGCGATGCCTTTCGCTTACAATCAGAGGTCTTGTGTGCAATGCCATGGGGAGGAACATCCCATCTGGGATCACAGCTGGTCTCCATGGTCACACACTAAATCTTTCATGATGGGATGCCTCCCAAGCAACATGGCGATGCATCACTTTTTCAAAGACAATTCCTCCTTTATTTTAGCAGGAAGTCCCCACTGAGACTCATCTCTGTTTCAAAGCAGGCTGAACACTTACACAGTTACCGAGAAGACAGACAACAAACACACAAACACACATTAGCCGCACTGAATATTTAAAAATTCCATGAGGCAGAAAGAGCCAAATCTAACCTGTGTTTGCATACATTTCCAGGACAATCTTAACCCTAACCAATAACAAAAAGACCAATTGCCAAAAATAAACACAGCGGTGCCTCACACTGGCAAGAGTGACAGACAACGGAGCCGAACATAAATGCAAACACCCCCGTCCCGCTCACCGTGTAGGTAGTCAGCCAGATCGCCTCCGTTGCAGAACTGCAGGGACACAAAGGAGGCAGTGAGTCCATAATGACGGGATGACAGAGGAACGGCGGGAGCTGGTGCTTAAACACGAGACATTCATCTGTCACCAGGCAATGTGACTTAATACCAAAGCCCCCCCCCCCCACCCCACTCACTAGGTTACTTACAGAACCAGATACTCAATTAACTTATCTTGTGTCATGTCAGCCCTGCCACTCCAAGCGGAAATGCGGTATTTGATTTACTTTGCCTGCTGCTGAGTGGTGTGACTTTCTCAGCATGCCCCACGGCAACCAGTCATGCTCAGGTGCCGCTCTACTTGTCGGACTGGCCACCTGACAGCCCAGAGTGGAGGCAGTGAGGCTTTGAGGCAGCCAGGGGGGAGACAGAGGGTGGGGTTGGCTGCAAATCGAGCTCTGCTCGCATCCCCCAAACTCTTGGACAAAATGCAGCCTATTCTCAGGTCGACACTCAGGCCTTTATGTCGGCTCACAGAGAGTGCTGCCCCCTGGCTTCCTGCACATGCACTGCAGGCAGAACGCCTCAAGTTACTTCTGCTACAGCAGAGCCAGAACACAAACAACAGTGCAAGAAAATCTGCTAGGATTAAAGAGATGGGTGATGGTTCATGCAGCGAGGATGGAGCCATGAACCCTACCTCCATGACCAAGAAGACTGAGGCGGCCGTTTCCTAAAGGAGGAGAGGAGAAAACAGAATAAAGATCACAGTCTGACAGTTTTCACTTTGTTAATGTGCTCTCTAGTAAACAATTATAAAGAATGAAAATGCAGTTACATTTTCACTAGAAGTGAATCTGCAGTTATGAAGCAAGGTAACTGCTAGCAGTGACTGGTGTGCTTCTCACCCTCACACTCAAGGTCAGGTTCATGCAAAAATCATGGCTCAGCAGAAGATAATTCCAACAAATCAGCAGGTCTTGGGTGTCTGTAGACATGGTGATGCTGGTCAAAGGCAGTGAGTGTAAGGGAGATGGGGGATTGTGTGAACTGGGAGGAGAAAGGACACAGGAAGGGCCTCTTTCAGAGCCCTGAAGACAGACGTCCCGGGGATTACGGGTTCAAATACTGAGCTGAACCTTTCTGTACTCAAACCATCCATCCACTTTCTATACCCGCTTGGCCGTACTTGCAGGTGCCTGCAGCCAATCCCAGAAGAAACAGGCGCAAGACAGGAAATAATCCAGAATGGGGCACCAACCCATCGCAGGGCACACACACCATACAGAACCATTTGGGAACTTCAATTCACCTTAGCATGTTTGCTAATAAATAAATAAAAATCACATGGAGTGAACATACAAAAACCACACATATAGAATCAAGGCAGGGACTCGAACCTCAGAGGCACGAGGCAACAGCGATAACCACTATACCACCATGTCCCCCCCTGCCCCCCATACGCTGTTTTCTAAATAAACATTTTTCTTCCTAGGCTTCTGCTCCAGGTGATTCTTGCCCAATCAGCCTCCGGCTGGGAATTAATGACACAGCCGTCCATTCTGCACCCACCTTGCACCCCCCACCTTTGCTGTCACAGAGTCTCAAGTGAGCTCCATCCAATGGGAGGTGGGCATGGAGATCATGTGACCATTCTCAAACTGCTCATGCATGTCCCGCCTATTGCTGCCTCATCCTTACTAAGACATCGGACACCACACTGGAAGATGCCAAATGACCTCCTTATCTGTGTTTGTAAAGGAACTTGAAACAGCAGGAGAACCACAGTTTCAACTTCTCCTCACAGTGGCTTATCAGAAATTATTGGAGACCCTGCTTGTGGAAATTACCTCAGACACAACAAGGGGAGAGGGAGATTGGTGATGGTGCCAAGCATGGAAGACCTGTAATGTGTTTAGTTTAAGGCAAATGGGAAATCTCTAAAATCTGACCAGTAAAATACCAGTTGGGTACAGAGATTCCAGCTGTGACAGAATTAAACTTCTCTTTTCCTGTTATTCTCTCATACTGTTGTTTCCCCAAACTGTGATGGACAATTTGCGTGTTGCAATGCATAAGCAAACATAGTCCAGAAGAGAGAGGATATTCACTGCAAGCCAAAAGCTTCAAATTAAGCGGTTTGTGGATAATCACACAGAACTATGGCCTATGTCAGGGGTCTCCAACCTCCAGCCTGCAACGTTATTCCACCAGCCCAAGCAATGCTGCAGGTGAAATCGCCACCCTTCCATACATTAAAAGATTACACCGTAAGGAAAAGCAAAATGCTGTGTACCTTATCCATACACGAAAATACGCTTCTCCCACCTCCCCCAGCTTAGCAAATTTTACTTTGGTTTCTCCCCTCCATTTCACTGGTCCAAGAATATTTTCCAAAACACAAGCTGGTTTGTGGACATCAAAAGATTGGAAGCCCTTAGCCATGCAACCTTGTCTGTGCAGGACGATCACTTTCAAGCTGAAAACTGTTCTTGTTTGTCTTTGACAAACTCATAACGAGACATTAAAACTCTTTAACTGGAGGACGGACCTGCTTCCCACACACAGTCTCTTAAGAAGGGGAACCTACTTGGACATCGTAGAGCGCCACTATGTTTTCATGCTGAAGCTCCTTTGGACAAAAAGAGCAGAGTAATCATTAATTTACATTTATTTAATGAAACCTACAAGTCAAACTTCTTCATGTAGAACCTTCAGTAAGTATTATATTATACAAATGAAACTACATGCTCATCTCTGCGGAATGCAATGCATTTCACTTTGCAACAAATCTTCATTCACCTTTAATATTTTGATCTCCTTGCCCAAGAGAAAATGAGACTTGGAGAGATTCTTTTTACTGATGCTTTTGATGGCCACTTCCCAGCCCTTTTTCTGTAAGGAGTGCAGAAGGATAGAGGGGGAGAGGGAGCGACACACAGATTCCCAGGGGGGTGAGAAAATATATAGAAGAATGTGAAAAGACAGTACAGAAAGGAGGGCAACATATGGAAGGGTGTTAGGGCTCGTCTCTGCACTGCAACTGCTGCTTCTGTATCCCCAGCCATGGGAATCGGTAACAGGACAAAAAGGTCTTTAAATGTAAATCATTCAATTTCATACTGTACACATCATGAGGACCGCCTCAGTTATTATGAGTCTTCTGAGGTGTGAATGTTCCTCCTGTGTAGAACATGCACCACCACCACCCCCCCCCCTCCCGACAACGGCCTGTGGGACACACCCTCAGGATTAAAAAGGGCCACAGGAGATTTGGAGGGGGGCCCTCAGCTGCAAGCCCTAACATATCACTGAACCACTTCACGCCTTCAGCCTGGGCAACTATAACGAGGTCTACAACATGGAAAATACAGTCCCATAAAGACCTGAAATTCATTGTTGTAATCCTGAAGGAGTTTGTTCGTTCCTGCAATTATATAGATGTCCATTCCTTGTGGAGTACATGCCAAACAGACTTTATAACTGATTTCTCAGTGAGATGGATGATAGAATAACAGTTTTACCTTCTTGTGTCTCCCCTTGAACACCACCGCGTAGGCTCCGTGTCCCACAAGGTCCTTTTTGTTATACTCAAAATCTCCTACTGTCTCCATGCCGGACACCCGCGTCTCACTCTCGGCTGATAGTGGCCGTGCTCCCTTCCGAGGAGAGACCACGGTATCTCGTGTTATTCCTCGCGGGATGCTCAGATGTGCGGGCTGCCTGTATATCTTGGACTTTATTGGGTAACATTTCGCTCCATCACCATATATTAACAAGATCGCCCTAGAAGCTATTTGCCTAAAAATTAAACGGTAAACAAACCATCTTTCGATTGCCACATGCAATTTTTACATATTTACATCAGTTCATTTAAGAGGGGGAGTACTGGTTCAAGTTTAAACATTATGCAATGCAAGAAAATATGTCATGCACATTTGAGTGGAATTAAAGACCGCACCTGCAGACTCAGTCAGTGGGTCAGTGTGGGTGGCCGGGTGTCATTTCTGTCCCAGATAATCACAAAACCAGCTAGCTATAATTAAACAGCATAATCCGCGAAGAGGGCTTTATGATTAATTTATAAAGCTAGGTAATATCAACATCGCGATCTCTCAGCCGTGACATGATACGCAATGGAAATACCCCCCAAAGTGTGCAGTTCTGTCTTCACTTGGTTAGCCACATCTCGCCTCCGGCTAAGCGCTTCTGTTTCAACGCTTTGTGTGCGTTCCCATTTCTTGACATAGCAGAAAAATAAAATCTGGACGAAAAACTTCAAATATTTAAATCAGGACAGCAGGAGAGGAGAAGTGCACGTATAAAACGCTGGCTGTCATTATGAAAGGGCGTCTTCATTCATTTCAGGGTCCTCCGATGAGCGCAGTTCCCCGGATCGGCCGGACTGGACATCAGTGTTTATCCAGGACCGAAGCGGACACATTTCCGCCGATTTATATTTAGTCGTGTTACGTATTTACTTCCCAGTATCCAGTCGATTATTTACGTTTTTGTCAAAACGGCAACATCAAGCGTATTGATATGATTTCTTACATGCTGTATATCAGATTCCTGGGAAAAAGAGCAGGAAGATACAGAGATCAATGCCTTCTCTTCTGCAGCAAGGCACCGTCGTCCTCCGTGACGTCTACCTACGAATATCCACGTGCTGCGAGATGCCAGGCTCTGACAGAGGCTCTGCCTGCATCCCGCGGAAGGAAACGCCAAGGCAGCCTCGCCGAGGGGAGATGCTGCTGGCTGTGGACCCTGCGATCGGCTCTGCTCCTCCGCCGTGAAGAATAGTCCCGCTCTTGTCTGATTTATTCGTTGAGCTGTGGGCTGCAAGCTAGTTTGCCCGGAATCGGGAGCGTCGTTAGGTCTATTTTAGGGGGGTTTTAACCACACTAAAATGTTTTATCCCCTCCCCCCAATAAATGTGCATTATTTTTTCTTAAATCATGAATAGCTTTTTATATTATATAGGTCAGTAACTTTGCATCGCCCCCCATCGATTCATGTCTAACTATACGCCCCAGGAATCAGCATCTTTCATATCTGTGCACTTTTTCAAACAATAAAAAATTAAACCTTATAATAGTTGCGTCAATTTAAGTGTTTAAAGGGCCGTTTCGTAACGGCCTTTTCGAGGAGTAAACAGAGTTGACTTCATTTCCCGGGATCCAAATACACGCATAGCGAAATTCACACACTTGAGTTTTCCCCAAAGATATTGCAGTAGCCTAGTAAATCTTTTGCCATGATTTCATCTTTAATAAATAGTTGTCGATTACATTTGTTTCAATGAATAGGATATATGAGTATGCCTAAATTACTAAGCCTGAAAAATTAAAATATAGGCCCACGACAAACATTACATACGTTTAGGACGGTTTAGAATATATGTAGTGTGCTTTAATAAATAGAAACATAAAATGTCTACAAGCTTTTGACCCATATTGTCTTATAATCTAGTGCTCTTATGGCGAATGTTTTGTGTAAATGTCAATATATTGTTATAATTGCTAATAATGATGCTTTGGTACAAAGGAAGGATGTTTGAACGGTATGTTTCAATCGTTTCACAATTAAGTTACATTAATTAGTGCACGTGTAGTTGTAACGTGAAGCCACGGTATCACATATTTTAAAACAACCGGCAGATGAATTGTGAATATATTAAATTTTTATCTCCCGTTAAGCAAGAAAAAGAGACTGAGCGTTTCCTGGGTGTCGGTTAAAAAGGTCAATTGTTCACTGAAATATGATACACGTTTCCAGAACAGCAAATTGACATCAGCACTATTGAAGCAGTATGTGGTGGGCGCAGTCGTGACTGTTTTAGATTAGAAAAATACGCCTATCAATAAATATATTTTTGTATATTCGATTATATTAATGGAGAGTATTATTTACAATGCTCAGGATTGTACTGGGTCCCGGAAAGTGAAAACGTTCCGATTCGAGTAATTGCAACCTTTACTACAGCCCCATCTACCGGCGGTGCTCTTTAGTACTTGATTGTAGTTTAATGGTGTCTCCGGAATTCATTTTGACAAAGACACGCATCCCTGGCGCACACTCGTAGTGTTTCAGCAACACCTCAAGACGAAAACTTTCAGTGAGTCACCATTTAGGGCTATTAACAGCTCCAGTTACCTGCTCATTCTGCAGGCTAGGTGTTTCTTTTAAGTTTTAATCCATCTGAATGGTGGCACTTCAGACAGATCCCTGGAGAACAATGGAAGCACTTCGTAATCCCTTGTTACAAAGTTTGGAACCACAAAAAACAAGATGAACAAAATAAGTTATAGGCACCACGTGTAAACGTTTTTACATTTTTATGGAAAACAAACGTTAATGGGCTGTTAATGTCAATATTTAAAAACGCAGGCCTAGATGAATAAAACAATATTCAATGAATATTACCCCGAAATTAAGGACTTTACGCAGGCCTATAACCTATTTATAGATTCCGATATAGGAATACATTCTAAGGTAATTCGACTTAAATGTTTCACATAGATACTATGGTGGTCTGCCCAAGTCTTGGACATAAATTTGAACATTGGTACTCGATCTAGGCCTAAGTGTTACAATTGCAAAGTAGGAGAAACGGTTAAATGGTATAATCTGATTCATGGGTTTATAGTGGAATGAAGGTTAAAGGTTTATTTTTATTTGTCAGACATTCAGATGCAAAACGCGGGTACACCTACACGAAACAATCGCACATCAAAATTCGACTTGCTGTGGATTATATAATATTAAATTAAGATGTTATTCACTGTCAGAAAAAAGTACAAATTTGTACCTTTAACGATACAACTGCTTAATTGTCACTAGGTTTGTACTCTTGGTAAATGTACCTTTTAGTTTAATTACATTTTTGTACCATTGGGGGTACATTAATGTTATTTGTATCTTGGGGACAAAACTATACAAGGGCTGTACTCTTTTTTCTGACAGCGTTCGATAAGCTAAATTGATCCTGGTATTTTACGACAAATCAGTAAAATTTTATCGACATTATACCTCTTTTCATTGTTGCTAAATTAGTGTGTTTAGTTAATAAAGACGAAGAGTTGGTGTCGACAAAATCTGTAAACCATATTTTAAAATCAGTATTTCCATATTTTATGAGTTCCTGGCATAACAAACCCACAGAGACTCCGCGAATGGTTGAATAGTGTAAAATTTATGGCGAGTTAAGAAAATTATGAAAATAGCAACGAATGTTAGAATAATATCACACTTAACCTTAAAATGATTATTTTATATATTTTTTAGAATTAACTTTGCACCCCTTAGGCATTTAATAAACACCGACAAACGAGGCGTTGTCTGACGTCTTATTTTTAAGCGACAGAAAATGTATGTCAGTCAAAAAACTGCCAAACCCCCCACGATCTAGCACCGCAAAACAATAAAAGTGACCATGTAGAGCCATTATACGACGCTTGGAATATACAATCGCAGCCTTGTAATGCGCTTTATGAGCCTAAAGAGGTTACCGGTCTGGAAGGATGTACCACAGACACGGACAGAGTGTGAGTGTCGCTTAGAAATTACCGGGACTGGCCCAATGCTCTCGTGGCGCTCTGGCTGGCAAGAAAACGGGCCATCTCAGACTGAATTGGATCAAACGGGCACCTCGTTAGTGGCCCGACATTGTCTGACGGGACTGCACTTCAAAGCTGCGCGTAGGTGTGGCGCGACAGATAGTTAACAGTTACCAGTTACCATGAAGCGGGCATTGAGGAGGGAGGGGTCACCAGGGATTCTGCGGGGTATAAAGAAGTCAAGACCCGAGTGGGTATGTCACATCCTGACTGCATCTGCGTCCAGCGACCACTTGGAGTGACTCATGGAAATGGCCTGCAGTTTGGATTATGCGAAGTACTGCAGCGAGATCAACGCACTTTTCCCACAGTACTGGCCTGCTCAAGGTTACTCCGAGATAAACAACCAGACGAACGTTTCGGGCAAAGGTAAGACTCCAAGCTTTTAAATGTAGTAAACTCCAGATTCTACAGAAAAGGTGGACAGTATATATATTTCAATTAACGAAAGGACTTATAAAATAAATGAATACGCACCAGTTGTTAAATTAAAAACAAAATTTCATTATTTAAAATGTATGACTTTTGTATCAGTAGCCTACTTCCAGGATGAATGTATAAGCTTTTTCTTTTTTTCCGGTACTGGTCGAAAGACTAGCTTGTTGCCAATAGGGGGCAGTAAAACTGGCTTTGCCAAAGGCCTAAATTAAACGCATCCGATGTTTATTTGTTGCTTTGCAGCTAATTGTATGTGTACCGTGGTAGTGTGAGCCACCTGGTTGCTCATTTCACTTTCTGTCCATCAGCAGGATGCCAGGACTTCCTGCGAGGGGTCCAGAAAGGGACCCAGAGGCGGCGGAAAAGGACCACCTTCAGTAAGGGGCAGCTGGGGGATCTGGAAAGAGTCTTTGCTCTCACTCACTACCCTGATATCAAACTAAAGGAGTCCTTGGCTACAATGACTGGACTTCCTGAGTCCAAAATACAGGTATGTGCAGATTTAAAAAAAAAAATATTTTATCTGAGGCAAGAACCTTAGGAATCACGGACGAGAGCTCATTTTAATGGATATATGCAAATGTAAAATGGAACCTGTAACCTTATCTGATATTCAGTATCCAGTTTCATATGAATGTGTATAAGTCAAGCACAACAGTTAGGCTGGTAAGTCAGTCATAGCATGACCGTGAGAATGGAGATTTGATGTCTCTTTGCTAATCTGCCATTTTCCCTTTTCAGGTGTGGTTCCAAAACCGCCGTGCTCGCTACTTCAAGAGCAAGAAGCAGGCTGCTCTGCAGACCCCTCTGCCTCTGAGGTGTCCCTCTCCCAGCCTGCTAGACCCTCCCCGGGTAGCTTGTGGCTTTGGGGCAGACAGCCAGCTCCAGGCCCAGACTATGTCATCTTCTCAGGTATCGGGCTGTGCCGCTACACACAGTTTGCCTGCTGCTTTGAGCCCCATTTCGCAGCAAGAAACTGTACAACCCAGAAACAGCGCCCCCTGGAGCTCTGGAGGTACTTCAAGGCCTTACTGGGATTTTGACTCCTGCCAGGATGGTAGAATGCCTCCTTGTGCGCCCAAGAGTTCCGGAGACTTTGTTACCTGGGGAGAGCCATGCGGAGACACCCTCAGCACGTGCTGCAGTGCGTCTGACCAGACTGTACCATCGGCTGCTCAACCACTGCAATACCACGATCATGCGTTCAGGGGGAGCCAGCAAACACAGTTCCATGATGATATGCTTGAACTGTGTTCCCATGTTTACAAAGACTTTCATTTGACTGACCTGGAGTTTTCTGCTGCTTTGATGGATTACTTTCTCAATTGAGATTTGTGAGAACAGTGGCATTAAATTTAATTCCATAGATATTATCATTATTCTTTGTATTTACTGTATGCATTTATAATAGGCGGTATGTAAAAAAATGGCAAAATGTTTATTTAATATTGGCACTTTAGGAAGTGTACCTAAAGTGCGTATGCTGAATGGAAACTTTATTTAAATTCTAAATTAAAAAATACATCAGACATTTATACCATTCTCCAGTCACATTCAGTTTGTCATTCAGTGTTTTTCCATTTCAATCCGTCATTTGTAACCCTCGTTTGAATAATTAATCAAGATTATTATGGAGATAATTATAGAAATGCTTGTTGGTTAAGCAAAGAGTGGTATTGATACTGATTGAATTGTATATAAGAAAATGTGAAGTGCAACTCCTGCTTAGAAGGTTTTCTATAAGCCAAGGCACATGGCTGGGCTACACACTGGGTGGCGTGCCAGTGTATCACAGGGCACAAGGCTGGGCTACACACTGCGTGGCGTGCCAGTGTATCACAGGGCACAAGGTTGGGCTACACACTGCGTGAGACGCCAGTGCATCACAGGGCACATAGATTCCTGAACTACGGGCAATTTCAAAATGCCAGCTAATCTGTCTTCAAATAGCAGAAGGAAGTCTATGTAACATAGAGAAACATGCAAACCCACACACACAGTCATTCAATCCAACTTAAATCTGCATGTTTGTGGCTTTCCAGGAACAACACATTTTAAGAGACTTTTTGCCCTACCACTATGATTTAGGTGGCTAAAAGCTAGGACTTCCTGAGTGTGAATCCCAGCTCTGTCTTTCATCTCGAGTCATGAGTCTGGAAGGAGTTTCTGCTGCAGAGTGTTGCATGGATGATCTGTGAAGATTCTGACCTGGGCAAATGGTGCAGATGCTCCCTAGGTTACATTGGGGTTACGTTCCGATAAACTTATCATAAGGCAAAAATATCATATGCCGAAAATGCAATTTAATACAGGAAACTAACCTGGCTTAACTTAGGGCTTGGGGGGGGGGCGGTGGGTGTCCTTTCCTCATATGCTCCCCCATATTTTAACGACACCTTAGTTCACAGACATGTACACCATCAATGATCAAGGTGG